AATATTATAAATAAAAGGTTCAAATATATAAAACTTTTAGAATTTAAAATATTGAAATATCTTTTTGAAGACATAATTTTTATTGATAAAATATATTATATATCAAACTATGTAAATTTTAGATAATTCACGGGTAGTATCACAATTATAATGATAAAGCGAGTCACGATTAATGTTTTTTACGAAATAAATTCTGTTACGGGTTGGACTTTCAAAAAATATATTGTAAATATGTGATTTTTACGTATATTCCTACTTTTACTACAAAATGGTCAAAATGAATAATTTATCGACAAATATTATTTCGTGCTGTTAAATTTTCACTATGTTTTTAATTGTATCAAAACTCAGTATATGATTATTTACTCGGTTTTTCCTTTATTATTTTATTTAAACTTATTATACAAATATATGATTTACCGTAATCGACTGCGCTCTAAGAAAATTAAAATGTAACATATTCTAATCCGTTAAAAATTATATATATATAATTATTTCCCCCGCGCTACAGCGCGGATCCGAACCTAGTACTGTCGAGTAAATAAATAGGGCGAAAACAATCCCTTACATATTTGTATATATCATTTCTTACAATAAGAGGAATTGACCCATCAAGATACTTAACCATTAAGACAACAACTCACGAATGCATAATGTGGAACAAAATACTAATCCATAATGGTGGAAAACTACTTTTTGCGGACATCGGTTTTTACAATTGGAGCAAATAGGCCGAGACATATTGTTCGGCAGAAGACGTACCTTTTTACTGAAGAAGTACCAAGATGAACCAGACTTCATGTACAAGTCCTTCCCAATTAAGCATTCAACGTGTAGAGTGACACAACAGTACTCATCACATATATAAAACCGGTCTCTCGGATTTATTTTTGTCTCGCAAACTTCACACCAATACGTCACGGTACTTGTCTCCTTCCCATAAGTAAGAGCAAGCATATGGCTATCATGCTTATACCTAACGTATTGAGGTAAAGTAGCACATTTGAAACACAAAGCAAAGTCACACTCAATGCAATTGAATGTTTCATTTGTAATAGGAGGTTGTGAAATCTCATCGCAAAGTGAACATATTCTCCACTCCCCTGGTTTGGATGTAAGGAATAAAGGATGCATATGACTTTCATGGACCAAAGGCTCAGAAATTATGGCGCATTGCACGTGTAGCTTAAAATATAAACATTCTTCTTCACTACAGCTATAGAAGAAACCAGCTGTGCATAACCAAGGACAAGCTGAACATGATTTTGTGAGGCTCATAACACCGTCGTTTCCTCCCACTAGTGTGAGTAAATGAGGATGTATCGGGTGATGTAATTTGCGAGGGAAACTTGCACATGCTTCGTGGAGAATGAAATCACATTGCATACATGAGTAGATATTACCGTAGTAGATTGGCGTGATGCATGCTTGACACTGCTTATTCTCATCGTAATCTCTGTATGTGTTCTCATCAAGTCTCAAATGATGATGTTGATGACTAAAATGTTGTATGATTCCATCGCTTATCCTCACAAACGGCTCAACTTCTTCGATGTCTTCTTCTGGCTCTCCTTCAAGTTCCTTACCATCCCACACATTTCCTTGTGTTGCACATCTTGAATGAACCCCATACGGACAACCGTCCTTGATGCAAGAATAGCCCCCGTAATCATTGTCGATCTTTATGCGACAAACACCACAAGACCAATCTCCTTGTTCAAAAGAAGGGGTAAAAGAGATACGATGAGGATGGCGAGATATCCTTATAACACGTGGTAAGCTGATACAGCTTTGATGGACTACAAAGTCACAAGGGGGACATATATAAAAAGGACAGCTTGTATGTGACAAGGCGCAAACACTGCAAATTACGGAAGTGTTTCTTGGAAACAGAGCAAGTGTATGCTCATGCCACTTCGGATAATCCACAGACAAGACTCGCGGTTTCTCCACACAAGCTATATTCATAGCATAATCGCAGGCCAAGCAATAATAAAATAGCTTCAAAAGATCTTCATCACAGCAATAACATTCCCTTGTTGTATACCCTTTCAGCAAAACAAGCTTAAGAGAATGTTTTGGGTGAAGAGGGTGTTTGATTTCACCTGCAGCCTTGTTATATTCTTTATGGTTCTCCCCATTGCAACTTAGGCAGCGAAAATGCATAGCAGCAGCTTCTTCTCCTTGTAACATAAACTTCTCCCAGTTTAGAGGGAGGCAGTCCCACTTGTTAGGGATCCTCCAAGAGACTTCTTCATCCACATGGAATTTTCCTTCTTTCAAACAAACTTCTACTTGAGGGCACACATAAGTTAGATTCTTCCACTCTAAACTCATAGAAGCTACGAGGGACAATATTTGATGAATCAGTAATAAAAGCTCTGGGACGGGCTCAAGGCCGAATACTTTGTGAAAGAGTGGTTTGTACTCGAAATACATATACCTTGAGAAGATGCGAGAGTGTAACTTTTGAGAAATGAGTGATATGGCATTTCTTAAAGGCCCCGGCTGGGAATCCAAATCCATAGAGTTGAAGAGAGATATGGTTTGCGTAACGAGTGACATCAACTCCGACTCCGGCTTCGGCTGCGAGTCGAAATCTATTGATCTCACTAGATAAACTATTTGAGTGATTTCTGACACAATTCTCAAATCATGATCTGTTTTCCAATACTTAGTGTCGATGAGAGGCAGTAACTGATGAGTAATGAGTGATATGAGCTTCGCCTCGGGCTCCTGTTCAGCTTCTTGCTCCGAACAAGTAAAAGTGACGAAATTGATCAATTGAGTAATAAGTGACACGAGCTCTGAATCCGTATCCATTGAGTAGGCGAAAGAGAATATTTGAGTGCTGAGAGACATGAGCTCTGGATCCGATTCAGTAGAGCCGATTAGAGATATCATTTGAGTAATGAGTGACACGAACGGAGATTCTGGTATAGAGTTGGCGACATATATTATTTGCTTGATGAGTGAAATGAGCTTCGACTCCGGTTTCGGCTGCGAGTCCAAATCCATTGATCTGATGAGAGATATTAGGTGACTAAAAAGTTCTACGAACTTTGATGGTTGTAGCTTCGAAAACCAAGCCCAATCCGAATCCAAACCCTCATAGCTAAAGAAAGATATCATTTGAGAAATGGCTGTCACGAGCTCTGACTCCGAATCCATAGTGTTGCCTAAGGAAATGATTTGACTGATTTGTATCCCCAAAAACAAAACAAAAAAAGATACAGACAAAGAAACAAAATGAGGCGATTGAGTATACGAAATTTGCTGCTCTCTCTGAAAATTGTTAAAACAGAGTGCTCAAGAGAGAATAAAAAACAAAGAAAAAGACAAAAAGAACAAAGCTGTCCGAATTCAAAGTCAATGACCATCTTTTTTTTTTTTTTTTTGTTTGGTCGGCAATTCAAAGTCAATGACTAGATTCCTTACTTTCTAATTTCTATATTACCAAGGCTTGTTTGAAAAATTCTTAAGCGTTAGCTGTCGGGTATTGGGTTGGGGTGGGATTATTAAGAATTTTATCAGAAACTTTTTTTTTTTTTTATCGACTTTAAATTTATTAAATTTTATAAATTACGAAGAGGGAATTTCAAAAATACTACTTTTTAAAAATATCCAATTTTCAAATTTAACAAAAAAAAAACATTAAAAATGTTGAAATTCATCAAAATATGTGTGTAAACTTATAAATATATAATAATTATAAAATATTTGTATTGAATCTTCCAGTAGTAGTTATTATAAACCATATAAAACATTATAATTTTTCGTATTTAAATATGAGTATTTTTTAAAATGGATAGATTAAAGTGGTAATTTTGAAAAGGGTACACCTTTCTAAAAAATTATCAATGATGAAAACTATATAATTTTACCATGGAAAATTCTTGAGAATTTTTGAGAAATACCCCTACTGGTGTACTCTTTTTTAAAAATACCCTTTTTATATATCCATTTTCAAAAATACCTCAATATAAATATGAAAAATTATAAAATTTTATATGGATTATAAGGTACTTCTATATAATAACTACTACTGGTAGATCCAATACAAATATTTTATAATGTTTTAAAAGGTTTTAAATCATTTTTACAAGTTTTATAAGGTTTTTAAAAGGTTTTCATAAGTTATTTTTACGGTATTTATAAAAGTTATATAAAATTTTATACACATACGAAATTAATTTGTATGCATATTTATAAGCTTAGACACATATTTGGATATATTTCAACATTTTTAGTGGTTATTTTTATAATGTTTGAAAAGAGAGTATTTTTAAAAAGTGGTACTTGAAAAGAGATATTTTTGAAATTTCCCCAAAGTTCTTTCTAACGCTATTAGATTCACTATTGATAACAGCTTCAATTGAGCATTATTAGAAATCTCTTATAAACTTGACATTTTTAAACTGAATTATTATTTAGGACTTGAATAATAGACCTCTTAGCATAAAACATTACTAAATCTTTGTCGATCAATGGGACCAAGGGGCTTCAACAAGAAACTAATTTTTTAAATAGAAAAATTTATATAATATTTAAATACAATTTATTAGTTGTAACCTGCTTTTAACCTATTAGAAACTTTGGCCGTGAATGGTAACACATCAAATGCGGTTTTCAAAGCATTTTTTCAAAATAAATGTTATATGTCACCAATCATGTATTTTTTTTATAAAGTGTGCTTTTCGAAAAAGAAGAAAAAGTTGGTTACTAGTCTCTTGATATAAATGTTTTTTTTACTATTCACAAATTTATTTTGTCCCGCAAGTTCTTTATTTTACCAATCAAACATTATTTTGTACCGCTTATTATGTAGAAACCGCACTTGTCCCGCAAATATTTTGTCTCGCAGTTGCACCGTACCGCTCTTAAAAAACGCTTTTCCCGCATTACCAATTACGCTGTTACCATTCGGACCCTTTGAATTAAAAAGATTAGCCTGTGAGTTCGCCATAGCCGCCGAGACCCCAAGTTTTCACTTTGCTTCACCCCCCCCCCCCCCGGTGGTCGGCGCTCCTCACTGCTGCCGTAAGATGGTATCCTCGTATTCTGTTTTTAGCTGTTGGTTTTTGTGTCTGTTTTGGCTAGATCTAGTTTGGTTCGGTGAAGAAGTAGGTTCTGCCATGGCATATCGGCATGGTTTATTGGTTTCCTTTCTCCGTTCTACTATGGCTTGATTGATTTGCTTTAGATTGTGTATGAGGTTTGAATCGATAGAGGCTGTCCTGTTAGTGGGAGTTGATACTGAATCTTTGCTCTACCTCTACTTTGAATCCTCTTGTTTGTTCGTGGTTGTGATTTGGTCTAGGTTCGATCTTGGTGTGGGTCATTTTGATGGCATTTGTTGCTGAGTCACCTACTAGGAGCAGTGGAATCATTTGGTTCTAGTTAAACCAGTGGAATCCGTCTATAGTTCTTCTCTTGCGAGGGCGTCGTCAGCTTTATGTCTGTAGGTGTGCTGAAGCTGTTTCAGCGAGTGTCCGTGCGTAAGAATTGTTGATCTTGGTTGGCTTATCTCCCCCGTCGATTACAAGGATTTTTCCTTGTCCCTAGTATATCTTGCTCTCTCCATCTGACTAGTGAGGTGTGATGGTTGTTGTATTTGAGTCTCTGGTATTGGTTGTTTCTTGCTTTCCTCCTTGTCGGTTTGCTTCTGCTTTGACATCGGTGGGAGGTCTTCCGATCTTTGTGGGGCTTCCGACGTTCACATGTTCTATAAGGAAGCTTGGTGAGAGTCTATGTTTCCCTTGCTCAATTATAGTGCTTAGGTTTCAATTCCTCCTTAATAATTGCTCCTCTTTCGATGTTTGTGTATGGTTGGTAATTTAAGTTCCCTGTATGTGGGGTTTTAATTTCCCTTTTGTGGGTTTAAGTTTCTGGAGACATCTTGTTCGTCTGCCAGCTTAAGAGATGTCAACTTGTATTCCACTTTGGTTTAAATCAAAATTCAGATGACAAAAAAAAAAGAACAATTTATTACCTGCCATTAAGACTTGCAAGTTACAGAGGATAATATAGAAAAAATTATATAAAACTTTTATTAGGAAAAATGTCAAAAAACAATGAACTTTCAGATTTAAGTCATTTAAGATATTCCGTCCATTCAATTAAAAACTTAAAGTTTATAAAAATATTTTTTTTTAAATATGAATAAGAAAATATCTTCAAAACTCTATTTAATCATTTTATGAATAAGAAAATATCACTTAATCACAGTTTACGTAATGACACTCTCCTGGTGTCGGTCAACATCTACACTCTAGAACACATCCAATGACGATCTCATACATCAGAGAACCCTAAAATCACCACCACATTATCTCCCACGATGACACAACCAAATAAAAGCCACACGAGACCATACAAACACAAGAAAACATCACAAAACACACAACCTTAATGCTTAGATAAGCCATGGTCACTCACTCACCTTGATACGGATTGAAAGGAAGAAGGAAAACGACCAGGAACACACCACATAATCCCCTTCTCACCCCAACAGCCACAAACTCAGTCGTTCCTTGATAGAACACCCAAGAAACTGCCACATAAACCTCCAAAACCCCTTACAAGCCTCTCTACTCTTTCTCTCCACTTCACAAAGCGATAAAACTCCCAAATGAAGAGAGAACGGTTGATTACATGTTTAAGTCAAGTTTTAGGGCTTCTCTTAAACCGACACCTTTAAACCAGCAATTAAGCCTAAACTGCCCAAACCACCAAAATTAGTGGTGCCGACCGACAACCTGTAACGCCCTGACCGTCAATCTCTCAGTAAACCCCATTTTCACTCTTAGTCCATGGGTCCATCTCTCTTAATGGGCCTCACGTCCTCTCACTAGGCCCATGAGCCCATCCTTATATGACGGCCCGTTTTCTATGTCCGGGATGTTTGAATACTTTTTTATCGACCCTGCAAATTATTACATGATTTTTCCTTGTGTTTTGTCCTCATTCATACAGTTCTGACAACCATTTCCCGGAAGGTCACCCATCCTTTGACTACTCCAACATAAGCACGATTAACTGGGGTGTTCTGCAAACTGGAGTCTCAAAAACGGTTTATAATAACTTTGTAAAATTCCAGTTTACGGAGAAGTTTAAATGAATTGATTTGGTCACCTATATCACCAAAGTGCACTTGCTCTAAAATGAAGAATTTCTACATTTAAATAGATATGCGAGAAACTTCATATAGAAAGACTTTATATACAACATCGACAACTCAGAAGTTTGCCCAAAACAATTTAGATATATAGTCTTTGATTATTTTATTTTTAGGTTTGAAGGGAGACGATCCCATACCTTTTTAGAGTAAAGAACTTATGAAACCTTTTTGTTGCTATCTCGATCTAAGGGTTTCCAAAGTCAATGTAGAAAAGAGTGGTAGTAGGCATATAGTGTTGTTCTTTTACCTCACTCACTCTTTAATTCATTCCACTCTCTTCCCTCTACTTCTCTTTAAGTCTTTCTATATGAAGTAGCTCGCATATCTATTTAAGCTTTAAATGTAAAATTTCTTCATTTTATAGCAAGTGCACTTTGGTGATATAAGTGGCCAAATCAGTTCATTTAAACTTGTCCGTAAACTGTAATTTTATAAATTAACTAATTGTGTCTACTCTTTCACACAAAATGTTTTAGAACATTATAGAGAGTATACTTTAAGAACTACATTTCATTAACTTGGATATTATCTTACAAACACAACACATATACAGACTTATACTACTTTCACTTGTTGCTCACTTGCACACTTACACTACACCATACTCTTAGGTTCTTTTTTTACTTGTTTTTTTGTCGTTGGACCTCCTTCACGACAGCTTCTTTTCTTTCCTTTCATCTTCTACGCTTGAAGCTCTTCTCTGTTCTTCATTTTCTTCTCACAAAGCATTCTTTATCAATTCTCAACACATAGTTATGGTCATAAGTAATAGTATTTACAATCTTGTTCAACTGCATATACGAACTTAGTAAACCCTTTGGAAAAATGATATGTGGCCATATACATTCGTAGCAAAAAAAAAAAAAAGAGAAGATATGGCTACTAGTCTAGTATTAGTGTGACAATTTTGGTAATGGTCACAAGTTGTCTCTCCGGATATTCTTTTATTCTTTCACAAAAAAAATTTGGGTCACTTCTCACATGAAACCAAATCAGCTCCTCTTTCTGATTTTTCCCAATTAAGTGTAAATAGTTACTAAAGTTATCATCTTAAAAGATTACATACAACAAAGTTTATTACCAACACATATAGATAAAACAGATTACACAGTTACAAAATATATTTTCCTCACTTGTATAAAGAGCATACACTTCTTTTAAATTTATTGACTAATCTTTAAAACTTTCCTCCTTATTGTACAAAAATTTTACAGCTAAAAATTCATACATCAAATCATCTATATTGTTTTTCCTCTAGTTCAATATAGGATCATGTTTCGAATTTTCGAACAGATCATACCCATATTTAGATTTTAAAAATAACATATATATGTATATATATATATATATCAAAACCTAAAAAGGAAACATTATTGCTCTTCTTTAGGTTTGCATCTGCACCTCTTCTGCTGCTCTGTCAACTCCTGCATCCGTTAAAACCAAAATACAATGATCAAATAATTGCAAAGCTTGTGTTACTAATCAACTAGTCAATGCAATATATATATATATATATATATGTAGATAAACCTGGATTTGGCTTTGAAGAGTCTTCACGTACTCCACAGCTTCTTCCAACATGTCTGCAGTGTTTGTTTGCTGCAACATATATAACGAACAAACCCGAATCATCAGTCTATATATCTCACCGAGTTTCCATTGTTGTCATGGAGTTTCAGAAACCTCAAGGCAAACTAATCTGATACCGTATCTTCGAATACAAGACTGTTCATTGTTTATGGACTATGGATTAAGTAGTTCTAAAGTTCCACTAATGCCTTCACTATCAATAAACAGTCAACATCCAAATTCCTTTACCGCTAAGCTTACCAAGAGGACTAAACTCTAACCTTAAGCTTTAAGCATATATAACTATGGACCCATTTCGTAATTTTTATTTCAAGAACTTCCAAGAAAAGCTGGAAATCAATATGTCCTGTAAAAGAAATTTTACCTTATCCATATTAGGAACAAGTTCTTGCAGCCGCCTTATCCGATCACTTATTCGCGTTCTCCTCACCTAACAAAATGAACAGAAGAAAAGCTTAATGACACAGAACAAGAATGAGACAGAAACAAAAATTAGTACTTCAAAGCATCTAAAACACAAAGTTTTAAGTAATTACCCGCTCAGCAATGCTACGAGGATGAGTTGCACAACCTCGTTTAGCACGAACTCTACAAGGAACTGAATCCTCAAGAAGCTTGTCCATATTCATATCCATCATTCCTGATATCCCACCACTCATTTGCTCTTCTTTCTACTCAGCAGAACACAAAAAGCAGAGTTAAGTTTCCATACACACACAAAGACTTAACAATGTCCCTAAAAAACCACTTCTTACCTAATCTAACTAAGCTACACGATCTTAAGATTTGAACACCTAAAAATGTAAAGATCAATACATAGTGAACAAGTCAAGCTTTGAGTCTTTGAAGCTGTGACTAATACAAGCTTTACACAACCCATTCACACAACCAAAGGAATACAAAGAAAGGAAAAAAAAACTGCAACTTGCTGAGATTATGTTTCAAACAAATGCAAGTTGTCAAATTAGACAAGACTACTCTTTTACATCTTTATTGTCTCTTCTCCACAAATCGAAGAATTTCAAACACCCAATTAAACTATAAGCTTATCAAATCCCTAAAACAGAACACTCAAGTCAGAACCTGAACTCAGCATTTTGACCACACAACTTGACAATAAAGTAACAAAGAAGTCATCTTTTCATATAAAGTTTCAATTTTTACGAAACAGAACGTTACCATCTGAGAAGAGAACTGTGTTTCCATATCTCTAGACCGTTTCGTCGGAGAAATGTCAACGTTCGGCGACAAGTAATCATAATTCGCCGGAATCCCAAAATTTGAGAAAAACCCATCAGTCCCCGGACCAGACCCACTTAGAAAATCCGCCGGAGAACTATTCTGACGGTGAAAGCCACCACCTTGGTGACTATTACTATACAAACCCTGTTCAGCAGAAGTCCGGAACTCGAACGAGTCACGACTCGTTATCCCGACAGAACTGTTATTATTATTACCAGTAAGAAGCTCTGTTAAACAGAGGTTTGGTTTCAAACCCTCTTCTTCATCTTCTTCTTCAAGTAGGGTTTCAATCCAAGTAGCTGGAGCTGAACGGATCCGAGATAACCCACTTCGACTCATCTCTCCACCTCCACCGCCACAGTCACCACTTCCGCCGCCGACATTAGTTGATTGCATCGGATTGTTTTGTATTCTCACCGGAGTAATGGCTCAGTCGGTGAATTGAATTGAGTTTTTATTTTTTATTTTATCAGTGGAGACAATTAGACAAAGGAGCCACAGCAGACCTGATTGTTCCTCCGATTGTTTTGTCTTTTAGTTGAATTTTTGTTTTTCTTATTTTACACGGATACATAAACCTGATCGTTAGTTAACTACTTTATTTAGTTTGACTAAGATCTAACGGTGGAGAAGATATAGTTTACGTGGGTTGCGTTACAGTGGAATAAATTCTAGCTTTTACGTCACTGTTTCTGCTTTACTATTTTTTTGTTTCAGTGGATATGGTTTCTATTCATTATTCGCCTACGCGTTATTATAGCGCGTGAGTTTCACCTTCCGATTCTTGACGGCGAGGTTAGAGAGTAAGAGTGAGAGGAGAGATTTCTGGAAAATGGGAGGAAATGTGAACTTTTCTTGTCGGAAGATTTCATTGAAGTCAAGCCACAAAATCTAGCATTTTTTAGTGATTTTATGATAAATTTTATATTAATTAATTACGAATTTTAAAAGATTTAGAGAAATTTAGTGTTATTAATTTAACGATTCAAAATTTAGTTATTAAATTAACAGTTTAAAATTTACAATGTAATTTATTATTATAATAAAAACAATTTAGGAAAATGATTTTTAAATTGGTGTATTCAATCCAGTATTCTAAGTGATTTGTATAAAATTTACAAATCTTATATTATTTAGTTATAGATTTAGAAGTCTAACAAAATTCAGAGTTTTTATATTAATAATTTAAACTTCGAGAATTCTTTTTTTTTCAACGAATAAATTTTATTGATTAAGAGTTAATATTGTCAAGGTACAATTCATACTGCAACCATCGAGGTGGACAAACACCCGTACATAAAAAATTACTATCTAGACATCCAAATTTAGTAAAGAGATGGGCAGCTTCATTACAAGATCGTTTTGCAAAAACAAAAATGATATCAGAAAATAAATGAGACCAATGTAAGATATCCTAATAGATTCCTTCAATTTGGGCATTGTGAAATTTTCCATGAAGCATATCAATTAAACTTGAACAATCACTTTCAAGATAGACTTTACGATAACCTCGTAACCATAGTTGTTGTATCGCAGCAAGGAAAGCCTTCGCTTCGGCCTCAAGAGGAGTGAAATAATTTGGAAGTAGAAAAGAACCCCAACATATAGAAACACCTTCATTGTCTCTTAGAATCCAGCCAAAAGTTGATCTAAAAGTATAAGGATCAAAAGCTGCATCCACATTACATTTCATAAAGTCAAGAGGAGGTCTGCTCCAAGTGATTTTATGTTTAGGAACCGAGTTCAATATAGTAGTAGAAGAATTCAAAGAAGATGTATCAGTAATCCATTCATAAACATCTGCTTGAGCCTTAGTAATAAGATGAGAAATACTATGTTGGGTCTGGTTAAAAGTTAAATCATTTCTTGACTTCCATAAGTGCCATAATAACCAAATAGGAAGAAACTTATGTTCTTGGGTTACATTAACTTCATGTTGCAAAAGAAGAATGTCAGAGAGATGATCTTCTACGGTCTTATTACTGTGATAGAGAGAAACTAGAGGAGTATTGGAATCAAGCCACAAATGTTGAGCATACGAACAGCCGGAAAAAACATGGTGAATATCTTCATCAGCAGAGCCACAACGGAGACAAGTTGGATCAAGATGCATTCCTCGGGAATTAAGACGAACTTTTGTTGCTATCGCACGGGAGAGAATCCTCCAAAGAAAATGTTTCAATTTTGGCATAATTTTGAGTTTCCAAATTTTATTTTTCAATGTTATTGAACCATGAGGAATTTGATGTTGAAGGTGGTTATTATCTGGATGATGAGTGATAAACCAATAACCAGAACGAACATTGTATTCTCCTGAATTTGTATAAGGCCAAATGATCTTATCAGAAGAAACCGATTAAGGAATATAGATATTTGTTAATTTTGATTGGTCAGCAAAATGGACCAATTCTGTTATCTTATGATTATTCCAACATCTATAACTTCCCCATGTCGAAATCAAATCAGATATATAAAGAGATTGGTCTGGCCGGATACTGCGAACCGAAGATGGTGGATGTGATGGTAATAAATTATCTTTATCAAGACGGATCGAGGAACCAGCTCCCAAATTGTAACGATAGCCCGATTTTATTACTTGCAAACCACACAGAATTGAAGACCAGCCAAAAGATTGGTAAGGTTTCGAAGTAGCATTAAGAATGTGATCATCTTTGAAATACCTGGCTTTCATAACTTTGGCAAATAATGAATCTGGATATCGAAGAAGTCTCCACGCTTGTTTAACAAGTAAATCATCATTAAATTTTGTAAGATCTTTAAAGCCAAGACCACCCTCTTTCTTTGATTTCTGAAGTTTTTTCCAAGCAATCCATGGAATGCCTCTATTGTTATGATCTTTCTCCCACCATAATTGCATGAGTAAGGATTCAATATCCGAAACAACACCAAGAGGAATTTGAAAGCAAGACATGGTATAAACAGGCATTGTCATAGCCACAGATTTGAGCATAATTTCTTTCCCTGCAGGTGATAAAGTTTTGGAACTCCAACTACTAGTTCTTTGATGGACTCTTTGTTTAATATATTCAAACATTTCTGATTTTTTCCTTCCAAATTCCTCTGGAAGTACCCAGATATTTGCCACCTCCTCCATGGTTAGGAATTTGTAGAATGGATTTAAGGTAGTTACGAAGTCGGCCATTTTTCCGAGAGCCGAAAGTAATCAAAGATTTGCTAGTGTTAATCTTCTGGCCAGAATAGTACTCATAAACGTCAAAGATATCTTTTAATGCTTTACAATTTCTACTATTGGCTTGGCAAAAGAAAAGGGAGTCGTCGGCAAACTGAAGATGGGTAATGACTGGTACACCATTACCTATATGAATTCCTCGAAGATCTCCAGAAGAAGCGCTTGATTTAATTAGGGGGCTTAAAATATCCGCACACAAAATAAAGAGATAGCGTGAAAGAGGATCACCCTGACGAATGCCTCTTTCATGAACTATCCATTCTTGAAGCGATCAATTAATGAGAACAGAATATCTCACTGATTTTACCAAAGCCTAATCCAAGTGTTAGAGAAACCAAAAAGTTTCATAGTAGTTTCTAGAATTCATTAACACTATAAACCACTAAAGTACTAAACTAATTTTATTAACACTTTAAATTTTAAAAATAGTTTTCTTGTTTGTACCGCCATAAAATTGACAAAATGGTAACATCTGTAAACAGTTTAAATTATGTTTGTTTAATTTTAAAATTAAATTATTTTATTAAAATTTATTATTAGAAAAAGTTTCATCTTCTTCAACTACATAATATTCAACCCAAAAATTTCCAGATTTTTTTTATTCAATTTATTTTCTATGTTCATCCTCCTTTTATTGCCATTGGTATTATTAATACCGTATTAACTATCTAAGTGCTGAATTAAGTTGGTGAGTTCATGGCAAATGCTGAGTTGCCACTCTTGCTAATGCTTTTCTAGCATCTCTTATACTTTAAGTTTCTCCGGTGTTTTGTTATCTAGTTTCAGAGGTTTATCAATACCGAAGAGAAGATGATGTTTTGGTACTGTTGTTTTATTAAAATTTATTTTTGTAAATAAATAACAAAATTAAATTAAAATTAAAAATTATATTAAAGAAATATTTAAATGAAACAAAAATAATTTAGCTATTCTGCGTTGACGAACCGTTCCATCATCTTCTATATATGGTAGTGCAAATTTGAAAACTAATGTTTTTTTTTTTTGTAACAATATGAAAACTAATGTTGAGGTTTAAAGTGTTAATAAAATTATTTTCGTGGTTTATCTTGTTAGTGAATTTCTTTAGAGGTTTAGAAAACTACAGTAACATTTTGAAGGTTAAAAACACAACTTTCTGTTTTTTTTTTTTAATTATAATTCGATTAACATGGTCAGACTATTTTTATTTTTAACAATCTCCCATATGGGAGAGGTAGCCAATCTATTCTCATCCAAAAAAACAATTATTATTTTGTCAATGTAATTATATATAAAATTTAAAGCTAGAAAAATCATAAATTTTTAGATATAATACCAAATTCGTAGTCAATATATTTCATTTCAAAATTCTATCATGTTATTTATTTCTATTAACATATAGTATAAGTCCCTTAAGTTTAAATACTTTTCCAAAAAAAGTTATAATATATGTTGACTGTCATAATTATTCTTTATCTATAAAGGTGTGATAAGCTCAAGTAATATATAACACACACACACAAAAAAAAAAATTAAAAAAAAAAAAGACGGATTTAAATTATGAATACTTTCTAGGGTTATAAGGGTTTGTTTAAATCCTCCTCGATCTTGTCACTAATCAAAATCCTTTGTGTGGTTAAACAATGGCAGAACCAAGATGGTATTACACAAGAGAAGAGATAGAAAAAAACTCTCCATCGAGACTCGATGGTATGAACTTCAAGGACGAGACAATCCATCGTTGGTGTTACACTTCATTCCTTCAAGATCTTGGCCACAGACTAAACCATCCTCAGAAGTCTATAGCCACAGCGATTGTCTTGTGCCAAAGGTTCTTCACTCGTCAGTCAATAGCAAAGAATGATCCCAGAATGGTCGCCACCATATGCATGTTCCTCGCTGGCAAGGTCGAAGGGTCTCCAAGACCGGCCGGTGACGTTCTTTTTTTCTCTCACAGGCTTTTATTCAATAAAGATCCGTTGATCGATGCCAAGTTCGAGAGATTGAAGGCTACTGTCTTCACGGGTGAGAAGCTTGTGATGGCTACTTTGGGGTTTGATCTTGATATCGAACATCCTTATAAGCTAGTTATGGATTGGGTTAAGAGATGTGTTAAGGCTGAGGATTTTAGACGGGTAGGTCAGGCTGCTTTGAACTTTGTTAATAACATGTTAAGGACGTCGCTTTGTCTTCAATTCGGGCCTAGTCAGCTCGGTGCGGGTGCTATATATCTCGGGTTAAGCTTGTGTAAGATAAAGTACTTACCTTGTGATGGAGATAAAGCTTGGTGGGTAGAGTTTGGTATTAGTAAACGACAATTGAAGGAAATTTGCGACCAGACGCTTGATCTTTATGTTCAAGACTTTGTCGTTCCGGCCGGAGCAAGAGGTGAATTTAAACAAATCAAGATTGATGAGACAAAGTCTTGTCCTCAGGGTCTTCAAGGTCGTCAAGATGGTAAGGGAATCTTGTCGAACGTAGTCAAGAATTAATGTTGACAGAGATGATTTTGTACCTTTATTGGAATGTTTAAATATAGATTAGAGTATCTAAAACAAAGCTAAGGACAAGGGCTTGTGAGCATTTGTTATTGTTTAGATGGTACATTGGAATGTTGAAATAGTCTTTGTCACAGTTTATTTTCATATGCAGAAGAGAATTAATTAGTTTATTAATTTTCTTTGATGATTTATTGCACCTATATGAGATAAATAACGAACCTAAATGCAAAATTTAATAGCGAGTTCAACGCCATTCCTATTATGAGTTCTTTACTGTATACAAAAGGATGATTACGTATATTATAAAAATTCTCTGAGTGTCTGCAGATTGAAAAGAAATGCATTAGAGCTTTTAAGATTCTTTCCCTGAGCCATCTAAATGTTATTGTAAACCAGGAGGCATCATAGAAGAGCAACCAAAACATTGTTTTGTATCCATGTATATGATCAAGCTGAAGATTGAGATGTATGCTAGTAGACATATAGATGATTGAATACGATGAAGAACATAAGAGATGAGATGACACGAGAGATTTGTTAATGGGGTTCGGATAACCTATATCTCCGGGGCCAAGTCCAGAATCATTCACTAGCATAAGAACACAAATATCACATTTGCTACACACACTCTTGTCTTAGATGAATCAAGGCAATTACCACCACTCATTGTCTTTTCCGACGAGTGTGGTTTCTCTTACAAAAATCATCAACAATTTTCTATTTTGTTGATGTGGCAACACATACACAAAGTATGCATCTACAAAGAAACCCTTTAGGTGTGCAACTTTTTCTTGTGCCCACCTCTTCCTTTTTATACTCCTTATAATTTTCCAAAACCCGAAGTTCCCAAGCTCATCCTTTTTTTCTTTTGGATAATAGCTTGTGTTCTTTTTCAACTTGACCATGCCTCTGCTGTACAAGGTACTGTTAACTTGACCCTTCTTTGTTTCAGACTTCACCTCCTCTGTTATGATGTAACACAGCCGCTGTCACTTTGATCATTGTCTGTTCTAACACGGCCGTTCCCCTGATACACCTTCACTCCCTTTTGTCAATACTAGCCTAGCCTAGCCTCTATTCTGACTAGATGCTCCACTGTTCCACATTAACATGTTGTAGGCTTTACTTCTCGCCATCTACTGTGTTACACAGCTGCTTCTTGTACACAAAGACTTTACTGCCTCTGTCAGCTTCTTGATCATACACTTCAGTTTCAGCTTCTTCAGCTTGAGTCTAAGAATCAGTAACAACAACAATGTTTCTTCTTCACAAGCTTCTTAGATTGTGACACGATCATCAAAACGTAACAAGATCAATATAGGATCAAGTTAGTCATGTCCTTAATTAATTACAGGTTTGTTCTGTACTAAATCATCACATTTGACCCCCAAAAAAAAAAAAAGTTTGTCATTTTTGGAAATCCACGCATGTTCATCTATTTAGACAACAAAGTTGTTGTTGATTACACGATCATTTACTATTGGTATCAGTAAACGTCAATTGGGGGATATTTCGAACCAGACGCTTGATCTTTATGTTCAAGACTTTCTCCTTCCCCCATCTTAGTGACTTTGAAGACTCTGACAAGGTTTAGTTTCATCAATCTTTGTCCTTAAAGTTAGACATGTCCTTATAACAGGCTTGTTCTGATACTAAATCATCACAAAAGCTGCCATTTTTGGAAGTCTACGACTGCATAAAGATAACGAGATTGCACATAACATGGATTCATGGTGATCAATCAACAAAAAATATTTCATGCAAATGCATTTAAGCTGCTGTAAAATGACAATTTACATGCTGTAGCTTGACTTATAAGCAACCTTTACCTTAAGTACATGCTCAACTCAAGAATCGTCTGCAAAAAGTGTTGGTGTCAACAACACAAGCTTAGCGAATCCAGTGTCTCATGAGATTGCTGAATTGCTTTCTAGCTTTTCATAGCTGAGATGGTGTTCTCAATTTCCCTGTCAACATCTTTGAAGATTTTTCAAGGGAGAAAGGACAGTACCGTTGTGAATCACGTTGTTCCTCTGCTTCCAGAGATGGTAAACTGTGGCCTGAGCAACCAATCTTACGGAGGAGAGAAGGGGCAGAATCAGACTTCATCCTTGTCCAAGCAATGAGAGCTAAACCCGCATCTGAGGAGCAAATGGTCTCTGCTTTCGACAAAATCTGCGCACAAGCCACAAGAAGAAGGGATCTGCAAACCCTAAGCAACGAGTCTGTCCCTTGTAGGCAACCTATTCAGTTGGGAAACCCACATATTGAAAGCATTCCTTAGAGTAGCTCCTTTAAACCAGACAGAAACAGTCCAGTCTTTTGGAGGCCTCTTTGGACGAACAGCTTCCCAAGTCATTGCTGGATAAGTCACTCTTGGCCTAGACCATAAGAGACTCCCATATTGAGTGTATACGGTATATCATCTAAACTCCAATATATTTGTTGACCCTCTAGTATTTTAACAAACAGTATGAGGATTACAATCAGAACCTTTGAAGACCTTAGTGTATATTGTTCATATTCAAATTACTCGACTACACCAAAAAAAAATCATGGTGTTAGTTTTTTATTTTTATTTCTGCATATTCCATGGTTTTAGACATGTTCTTGATGAAGATATTATTTATTCCATTTTTTATGTTTAATTTAAAATAAAATCTTACTTATAAATGTGAAATTTTTTCATTTCTAAACATGAAAAACATCTAAAATCTGTCAAACTGTGTATATCTATATTTTTCATGTTGTGAGAAACCACTAGTTTGAAATGATCTATCAAAGTCATTTATAGAATTAATAATAATAATGTTAATATGTGTTATTTTCTAATAATTCTAAGCGAATTCAAGTCTGATAACATATGCTTTCAAAAAAAAAAAAAATCTTTGAATAACATGCAATTTCAAAAAAAAAAAAAAATCAAACTACTCTTAAATATTAAGTAAAATACCAGATACGTTTCTCTACTTTAATTTCTACTTCTTATTTATTTTTTTGTTTACATAAATTAAATTAAATTAAATTCAGTGGAAGATTTGACCATATTTATTTTTATTGGAAGTTAAAAGTATCCTAATTAATTGTACCATATTTTAATCCTGAGAATACGTTAATCTTGGTAAAGAGAATCTTGGTATATATATATATATGCATATACAAAAACATAACTTGATTCTTAAAAGAAAAATCAAACTATATGGCTTTATCAAAGTTTCAACTTGCAACTCTTCTTATCGCATATTTTCTCCTAACTAGTTCTCATCAATCAAAGAGTAATATTTTTCTTCTCTTGTTTTGTTTTTTTTGTTTGTGAATTATAATTTTTTTTCCTCAGTTTTAGTAAGTTTAATTTTAAATTTTGAATTCAATTTCTCTATACCTATTTCCAGTAAATTTTACATTTACAAAAAGAAAACGCCCACATATGTAGATTCATAGACAATGTTTTATAAGTTCTTGTGGAAATTATAGTACACTAATGATCATTGTTGATTTGTTTTTTTTTGGCAATTAACAGTATTGAATACAAATCAAATCGGGGTTGAAGAGTGTGTTTACAGAGGTTTGTGCCGATCCAGCAAAGAATGTAAGAGTCGATGTGGACCGCCTGAGTTCTCACAGGATACTGTTGGTTTATGCATGCTCGATTATGATGATTACGAATATCGTTGTTGTTGTATTGTAGATAACAAAAAATAATTTACAAGTTTGAATAAATGTTTCTGGTATCCATTCGGTTTTTGGTTCGGTTTGGTTCAGATCGGATTCGAGATTTTTAGGTTTAGAAGGTAGAACATGTTCGGGTATCTATTAATGTTTGGATCATATTCTGTTCGATCGGGTATTTCGGGTCATGTTCGGTTTGGATTTTTGGATTTCTCTAGCTCTATTAAAACTATAGAAGTTTTTCCATTTAAACAAAATTATATCGAAAATAATGAAACTGATATGTAAATATTTCTGATGCCATTTAGGCTGGTTAACATGATTTAAGTAGAAATTAGAAACATTTCAACCAAATTTTGCTTAGCTAAGTAATATATATTTTTTAAACAAAATATATTCAACAAATAATTCGATTGAGTAACATCGAATTTGGATATTTATATTCAATTTCAAACTTTTTTTTGTAAAATGAATAATTTCTATTGTGGGAGCTGAATCCACCTAAGGGTCTAGAATGTAACTAGGTGGGAACCTATTCGCCTTTCCGAACTCAAACTGAATGCTAAATAATGAATGTAATCTTTTTATAGAATAGAGCTTGTTTCTTTTTTATTAATCTTACTCCTTTCGACCTCCTTTGCAAATGAGTTTCACTTCCTATATATAGAGGTACAAATACACTTAATAGCTTGCGTAATTTACGCTCCGGGAACCCGCGATCTTCATTATAACCTCGTTGACCATTAGTTAGTCTGTTACGATCTCCTTTTAAATGCTTCTTCTCCCGCTCTCTCTTTGGACGCCGCAAGACTTCTTCTTCAAGTCAGAACCCCTTTAATTGGGCATGGGCTCTATAGGCCCAATTAACTCTGAAGTACTAATTCCGGTGCTCACATCTATAATAAAATTAACTATTCATATATTAATTTTGACATTTAAAAATAATTAAAGTTTATATTTTAAAGAATATGATCAATGTTTGACAATAAAAAATACTCTAATTTGAAAGGTTAAAATATATATGAATGTGACTATAAGACAAAAACAATGCAAAGATATATTGAAAGTTTATATTGCATACTTTATTTTACGGACTGACCTCTAATTTTGGAATGTAGATGATAAAAATACAACAACAACAAAAATACGATTTAGAGTTCCTTTTTCTGAAAACCTTTTGATTTTTTTTTTAATTATATTATTTTGTGTTTTAGACAAAATTTAACTTTTAAAATTTATAACAGGCGAAGAGGTAATTATTTAAAGTGAGCACATATAGATTATGAGATAAGAATTTTGAGACGGCCAAAACTCGGTATGGATTTCACATCAAAAATTGTGACACCTTGGTTAGCAGAGAGATTTAAAGAATTGATTTGGCCATTTATGTCACTAAATTGCACTTATCTTTTTGGTCAAAAGTCTTGAGAGAAACTGTGTAAGTGTGGTTAAAACACAGAGACATATCATGTGGTCTTTAAAGCCTCCCAGATGTAGGAAACCGGCCATCAGATATGGATCAACCGACAAAATGGGATTGAAAATAAGTCTACTAAGAGGTGGACCATTGCCGCAAGTAGACATAGGGTCCAATAAGAGAGTTGGGTCCATAGGATAGAAAACGACATAGTGTCTATTGAGAACGGTGATTGTCGGAGCATAACAAAAATATATAAACCTAATGATCACAAAACTTTTTTTCCATAATGATTTTTGAATCGAGTTTCCTCTGATATGATCTTACTATTCTTCGCTTTTTTTTATAGAAATTTTGATAATACTCCTTTTAGTATACTTACTTTCAAAAATACCCCTTTCATCTACTTATTATAAAAAATTATTCCTGTTTTCAATCTGAAAAAATTATAAAGTCTTATTGTAATGAAATTTTGTTTTTGGATTATTTGAATAATGAAACAAAATTATTGTAGAAAACTATGGAAACTTTGTATAATCTTGACAAAAAATTTAATAATATGACAAACCTAGTCAAACACAAAACTCTATTACCATAATCTATAAAATCCAAGTTCAACCAAAGTCTTCTTGATTATTACAAAACCAGATATGTAATAATAAATTTCATAACTAAAAGTAAATAAAAGACACAAAGACAAAACTATATAAACAAGTCAAAATAAAATAACAAAGTCATGTGTCTAAAAAGAAGCTTCTCTGTGATCTCCCACTCATTATTACAACGCACGATCTCATTTCTCATCATCTCCTCCGTATAATCCGGCCATGATCATTCACGCGCCGCCGTCTCCATTATGTTGACCGACGTCTTCTGGCTCCGAACACGACGGAGCCGTTTCGTTTTCTTCCTCCTCTGTTCTCCTTTACTAATCCCAATCCTATGTGCTTCGATCCCTATCCTTTGCGCTGTCGAGATCTTTAGCCGCCTCCGTAGTCGTCATCCTTGGTTTGCTAAAACCGCCACCGTGGATGAAGATGATTTGAGGCTCCGGAGATGTGAAGAAGGATGCGGTTGCGGCGGTGGAGGAGGGTTTGAAGAAGAAGAAGCTGGGTTGCTTCAGAGGTACTTAGAAGATCAGTTGGTTCTTGTTAGATCTGTTTATGAGTGTGGTGAAGAAGATCAAGATCTTGATCAAGATCAAGATTCTGATCAAATTATTAGGGTTCCTCTTCTTTCTTAATTTTTTCAGTTTTCTTTAGATTCGTAAGTTTTTTTTTTCTTTTTTGTAATTTTCGGTTATCAGAGGAAAAAAATTGTAGATAAACAAAAATTGAATTACATTTTTAACTTCAAATTACTATCAGTTGAATTTTTTTTTTTTAATATAATTTTCATTTCTTTGATTAAAATTATATACTTTTAGAAATTTTCTGTCATTTTTATTTTTATATGATTCAGAAATTTTATGTGAGATTGTAAAGAAAAAATAATAAATTGTACCAAATTAATGGTTTAATTACTAAACTAACAAAGAAACTATAAGAGTTATATGGATGATTTTTTATGTCTAGATTTGTGTTAAATTAAGTAAATTTATTATTATTTTATTGTTAATCGATAAAATGTAAAGAAATGAGAATTTTTGTTTCCACATTTGACATTGTTATCATCCTAGTTATTAATTTTACTTTCCATTATAGTCAAAAGTGCATTTTTCCACTAATGTTTTTTTTTTTTTTTTTTTGGGGAATTAAATTTAGGAGAAGAGAGGATAAGAGTTTTTATGTTGGGTCAGGATCAAGGCCCACCTTTTTGTGTGTGTGTTCGCACAGACCAAAACCGAACTTGATCATATGGTTGGTCTAAGGGGGAATACAAGAATGTAATGTGTGGTCCAGATTTTATTTCCTCACTTACTTTTGACTGACTAGAAAAATTTACTTGTTTTGATATTTGCACACATCTAAGGTTTGATCTATTTTTAGAAGGATTGTAGCTTAAGCGGTTTTTTATTACTCATGGCAATAGAGGAACAATGTGGATCACAATCAGATTTTTATTGCTCTAGATGTTATCTTTAAGGGTATAGAATTGTTGGGTTTTTCAAACTCGAGCCAATATTACATTAGTTCGATATTATTCGCTTTGGATCCATAAGTCAAGCTCGCACAGATTTGTTATTGGGGTTCTTTAAACTCAAGTCAACTTTCCATTAGTATGATATTGATTGTTTTAGGCTCATAACTCAAGTCCGCACGAATTTTTTTATTGGGGTTCTTCCCAAAAGACCTTGTACTTATTGGGGTTGGACTTGACTTATATATTAATTTTTTTTTCTAATTTCCAGTGTGGGAAGCTGGTTTGTCGTCTAACAATAGATCGTTTAGTACACATGCACAAACGATTCTGAAACTTAATGAAACTATCGATACGATGAAACTCTTTATTTAATTTTGTAACTGTATTGTCTCCTCATTTCAATATTTTTTGCCAAGGATTCAAATCCAATAGCTCCTAATCTATACAACCAAAGCCAAACCTTATACATTTATAATAATATCAACATTTATACTAAAAATAGAAGAAATACAAAAAAAAAAAGATTATTCTCACATTCTTTGGCTGTGATTATTACTTTATATCTTTTAAAAAAATCTCTACGTTTTTGTAGTTTATAATTAAAATGCAGACCTCAAAACCAGAACAAGACGGGATTGTATCTTGTATAGATTCTAACAATCCTTGTCACACCACCAAGCATGGACCATAGAAGAGCCCAAGAAAGCTCATATTGTTAAAGTCTTGAAGACTATTCAAAACTATCTATGAACCATGTGAAAGACTCAAAACAATGCATATTGACCTTACTTGGACAAGAACATATGATTTGTAATTAACATACTCCAACACCTCTGCCCCATGAGTACACTACCGAAGAAGCATATACTACTAAGTACTAACGATATCAAAAAGAAAAGTCCAATGTGCAATGTCTTCTTGCCGGAAAAACATCGGGTCATAGAAGTATTACAATACATGTTACTTTTTATATAAATTGCACGACTCCCAATATGCCTGATATCAATAATTATAAATAAATAGTAAGGTGACAATGAAGATGCGTTTTGGCAATGAATTGATCAAAAAAATTCCATGAACTCTCTATTGATTATGAAGAATGGTTTCAAACCCCTTCTTGCCATTCCAATGATTTTCTTTAAGTACCACTCCAGATATGGTGCGGTTTCGGGGCCGGTCCAGCATAATATGAGGCCCAATAAAAAAAAATTTTTTACAGAATTTTATAAAAAATCTCAAAAATTCATAAAGTATGGTCTGTTTTTGCAATACCAAATAAATAAAATTAAAAATTGTAAGAAAATCTTAAACATTCACAAATTTGAGGCCTATATTTGCAATAATAATTTGTTTTTGGGAACTAATTTTGTTAGTAAAAAAAATCAAAAAAGCTGTTGGCCCAATAGCAATGTATCATAGAAATGGGTCGCATGCCGGGCCTATCCGGCTTCTTTAAAGCTTGTATGAGACTCTTTTGAATCCCTCTCAACAAGTATTTCTTCAACTCCAAGGTTGTCCAAACACAACATTGTGCAAATAAGCATTGTTACTTTTGCACCAAAGCATGATCGAAGACAAGAATAAGCCTTAGTAATCTCGAAGAACAACCTAAATTTCACCCCCATCGTCTCAAAGATCCCAACCAATCTCACCATTGACCACAGAACCATGAAACATTAGCTATAGCATTTTTAGTTTACGACTTGATCAAAGTTTAACATTCTTTATTGTTTGCTCCAAAACCTCTTCATTAGTTATCTTATTAACTAACTTTTATATACTAAAATCCAATTTTAATTGTAACTTTGGATGTACAAAAGAGATTTAAATCAAATGATGATGTAACCAATTCCTCATGAGAGCAAACGCTTCCTCGGCGTCTCGGTCATCTTCCGCTGTCTCCGGCCGGTGAACAAAGCCGTGACCTCTTCCTTCATACACAACAACCTTTGACCCTTCACCAATCTTCTCCTCAACTTCATACAAACCCTTCACTTCACAAAGCGGGTCTCTATCTCCGGCAATAAACAAAACCGGCACTTTCACATCTCCGGCCACCGCGGAATCTATCCTCGTACCGTAGAACGAAACACCAGTACTAAAGTAACCGTTCTCATCCGTGGCTAACACGTCAACCACTCTCCCACCGCCAAAACAGAACCCCATCACTCCTAACTTCTTGGAGATGCCAGCAGCTGCAAACTCCTCAACCATCCATTTAGTAAAGCTAGTTGTGTCTTGTCTGATACGGTTCGGGTCTTGTCTTCTTCTCCATTCCTCGTATTCGGACTTTGGTCGGTGTTTCGACCATGGATCTCCACGAAACAGGTCCGGGACAAGAACACTATCTCAACAAACAAACAAACAAAACTTTCAATTTAGGTAATGAATTTTGAAATTTTAGAGAGCTAAGTATATAGAGAAGATATGATATGATATATACTTGTAGCCATTGCAAGCAACACGATACGCGAAATCACGTGTAGCTGAATCTTGAAAACCAAAGACATCAGAGAGCAGAAGCAATCCAGTTCCGTTATTGTTCTTTACCGCCGTTAAAAGATAACCTTCAACACCGTCAACGGACACTTCTGTTCCGTTAACTAGCTCACAAGCTTCTTCTTCTTCCTCGTCGTCATCATCATCGACCTCCACGTTAACGGCACCATCAGAGGTCTCGAGAGCTGAAATGTTCTTGAGAGAACTTCGTCTTCTCAAGAAGGTTGTGGTGATATGGTTTCTAATTTGAGAAAACAAAATCTTGGGAGGGAGAGGTATGAGTCGTGGAGGAGGAAGACGGTGGCTTGGTTGGTGGTTGAACGGTGGCCGCCGTGGTGCTCCGGCTTTAGCAGAGGAGGAAAGAGAGGCCAAGGAAGCAGCCATTGTATGTATCTTTTTAGAATCAATATGGTCCAGAAGTTTTTTCTTTATATTGGTTTAGATATTTGTTAATTTATAAATTCCAATAGAAAATAATAAGTAATTAAAAAAAAATTATAAAGATATCTTATTATATAAAGTTGGGTTTTCAAAGTTAGTCGTTAACAAGATCGTGACACGTGTTAATTGAATTGATATGCTATTGACACGTGTCATATAATTAGTGGTAAGAAATTATATAAAATAGTTTTCAAAAAGGAATATTTTGAAAATAGAAATAAGAAAATAAAATTCAGGAAATTTAACAATTACTTAGTAGTAATCCTTAAGGAAAAAGGATAATCATTATAAAATAAAATTATTAATGAAAATTATAAAAATTAGGTCTAAGGAATAAAATTTTTTTAAAAAATAAATAAATAAGTTAGTCAACTATAAGTTAATCTTAGAAAATATTTACATTATCGTGAATATTATGTAATATTTAAATATATTTTATCAATTTATTCAGTAAGTTAATTTAAATAAGTTTGTCATTAATGTGACATGTGTCAATTGTATCGGTAAGATATTGACATATGTAAATTTAAGATATATTAAAATATTTTAAAATTAAATTTATAAACCCATAATAAAAAAAATTCTACATAAGTAATACATATAAAAGTATATCTAATTATAATGAATATTTTTATGTTAATTGAAAAATTTCTTACAATGTAAAACTTGGTTTTCAGAATTACTAACTCACGTGATTGTGATATATTTCAAGTAAAACATTAGATGCCGGAATGTGATACATCTAATTTTGTAAAAAAATAGATAAAAATAAAAAATTACCAAAAAAATATATATATTCAAAATTTTTTACGTATAATAAAATTATTAATCTAATTTTTGGTTATGTTGGTTTGGATTTATTAAAGAGATTAGGGGTTAATATTTACAATTAAACGAGATTATATGTCGATTTTAGTTTATAAAGAAGGATTAAAGTTTATTTTTTACAACTAAACATGTTATATGGTTGCTTGGATGTAGAAATGAGGATTATGGTTTAGATTTTACAATTAAACAAGGTTTTATGTCGATTTAAGTTTATAAATAAGGAGTAGAGTTTAGATTACAAAATTTATACAAGGTTATTTAATTGTTTCAGTTTATAAAAGAAATTAAGATTTAGATGGTACAATTAAACGAGATTATGGGTTTAACCAATTTTTTTACCTTTTTAATATGTTGTAATTGATTAATGTTTAATTTATATTTAAATAATGTAGTATATCATAGTGCTATCTCATTGGCTAAAACAAGAGGGGTGGATAAGAAGGAACTAAAAAAGAGTCATTATTTACTTAAAATAAGGATAACAAAAGTCAATATAATTAGTAGTATAATGATTTTTAAAATATATTTTTTCAAATATGTAATTTTCTATACTTTCATATTTAAAAAAATTTCTTAATGCTCATCTCAACGACACTATAACTCATTTTTATGGAGTGATGTTAATTTGTAAGAACTTTACCATCAAATTTTGTAATAATTAATTAAGTTTAAGAAATACAATAAATTGCAAAGTAAAAAAGTATGCAAGAATAGTTTTTTAAAAAACTGGAAATTTATGAAATAACATTTTTAGGATAATGGTATAATCATGTTTATGTTATAATATTTAAATTATTTTTTTGAAAAAATTGGTAATAGTAATATTATGAAAAATGGTGAATAGCTCACAATTTTTTTTGGTGACCGATAATTTAACATTACTAGACTTTTTTAATGAATGTTTAATAACGATTTTTAAATATACATAATACATAAATAAATTTGTTCAACAAAAAACAATTTACTAACTTAAAAATTATCTCTTTTTGAATACTTGGATATAACATTCGTACAATAAAATTTTAATTTTAATTTATTTTGAAAATAAATAACCCTAGACGGGCTTTAACTAATCTATATTAGAAAATATGATATTTAATCAATATTGATTTTTTTGGTTAATGTTATGATTTTCAAAATTTTAATACATGCAATATTTTTAATTCATACATGAAAACATAAATATTAACCCGCGTTTTTATGCGGGCTTTTATCTAGTGAGTTATAAAAAATAGTATACAAAATATTTACGAAATTATTTTTTCGTGCTAAGTAATAACGTAGAACTTTAAAATTATAAAATCACATGTTTATGTGACAAAAATGTAATTTACTGGATAAATAAAATGTTCATATAGATATTTTACTATCTATCATGACTTTAAAAAATGTCTGCATAATTTTTGAAAAATAAAGTATGTGAAATAAATTGGTTTTAGTGATGATAGCACATCTATTTAGACACAAGACTTGTTTTATTAGAGGAAAGGTTAGTATCACCGATTGATCTATATAATTTGAAGACTTGTTGGTGGCTGACTTAGGCTTTGATGATAGCTGTTTTAGAAACTTTCCACAGTCATATTTAGGTCCAAAGCTATAAACCACGGTAATTAAACTTTAAATTTTTGTATTTCCTTTTTTGATTCACAGCTAAAATATTTTCTTAATTATTTTTTTTGACGGTACAAAGACATTTTTCCTAAGCACATATTTGTTTAGTTTTTCAAAAAATTAATTCCTACAGCCAAAATATTACAAAAATAAAATCTACTGTCACAGCTAAAAATTCCACAGCTTTAAATCTACAGACAAAAAGCAAAAACTACAGCCGTAACCAATCAAGACCTTATTTCGCAAATTTTTTTCCAATAATGCAAATTTATTCATCAACAAAAATTCAAGCAATTTTATTTGGAAGCTAATGGAAAAACTATTATGGCAATTTTCTTTTAATTAGAATGCTAATATACTTATATTTTCCTTGGAACATACAATTGTCTAAAATCAAGTGCTAAGATTGATTAATAGTAAATGGTCTTTTAACATTTTTCCCAAAAGTTATTTTATTTTGAAAAAGATTGTATTAATTTTAGTGTGAGAAACACATTACTAAAGCAAGAATAAATAGTGTAAACATGACATATGGCTTGGTTGAAATTTGATAATTGTTTCACACCAAACGCCAAACTTTTATATGGTCTTAGGTCCTCTCTAATCAATCTTTAGAAACGAAACAGAGGAAGAGAGCTTCAGTATAGAGATGATGTACCATATGTGTATCGCGTTTAATTTGATGTTACCTCTATTGGTAAATCGACGACGTTGGAGATTTTTTCATCTAATGACTTTCTCTCACCGACTATAATGAATTCGTCTAAGAAGCATCAGCTGATTTATTTTATTTTGAACCCAAGTAAAAATTCAACACAACAATGATTCCAATTTGTACATAACATGTGCAATTTTCTTAAAATACATATCTCCAAAATTCTTCAACGAAATTGTGTTTTTGTTATTTATTAATTACTTTATCGATATGAGAAAAATATTGTTAGGCAAAGACATTGAATTTTGATTTTTAACAAGAACCTAAATCTAAGTAATAATCTCCTTGTTGGTTGTTGTTTAAGACTCATTCACATACAAATATTAAAAAAATACTTTATCCATGATTAATGTATTTCTTATTTAATGCCATCAATTATTAAAAAAACTAAAAAAGGATAAAATTGGAAAATCCATCACAAGATTATATTGGAAACATAGAACGACAATTAATTTGAAACAAAACTTAATTTCTAAACTAAAACTAATTTAAAATACAAAGAGTATGGACGTTGTTATTTACTTTCCAAACTTAATATGCAGTTGATTTAAAAATACTGTTTCTTTTGCAATTAATAAATATTTAATTTAGTTAAAAAATGTTGGATAATTAAGATTGATTGAGATCCTCAGAATTAAAAACTTTAATAAGTTTAAAACTATCATATCAATCTTTAGAGTATATGCAAAAAAATGTCTCTTTTACTACATATCAATATATCACAAGAAAAACGAACACAAAATTTCTAACAAATGGCCTAAACTGCTCATTCGTCAATACTTGAAAAGTTTCAAGTGTATTGCATAACCCAAAGGATATCATCAGAAATTCATAAAGTCCACCATGTGTTCTAAAATCAATATTTTCAATGTCAGCGTTTGTCACTAAGTTGGCATCAAGTTCAAATTTGAAGAAACTTAGTTTTATATAGTACTAGTTGTTGATCCGCGCTACGCGTGAGAAGTTTATAAATTTTTTATATATATTTTGATTTTTTTTGCAACGTTTGTTTTGTTGGTTTTTTATTGGTATCATTTTTTTTTTCATATGAGTTTTTTTAAAGTTTATATTAGTTTAATATCTGAAATCTTTATTATTATTTGTTTAACTGTAAATTAGGCTAAATAGTAGGTGTTACAACCTTATATTTCAAAAGCCTTCAATCCCGTAACCCTCACAAACTGTTATTAATTGTCAGATTAAATAGCTCACCGTATATATGCATTTAATAACTTCATCTTGTATAAAAGCAATATTATAGACTGGCATAGATATAATTTTTTGCATTTCTATTAGTTCTCATATAATAGATATATTGGAGTGTGAATCGATTTTGAAGACGTATCATAACCACTTTCTCCTTAATAATAGTCCTTAAAAACAACATGGTTTGTTGTGTGCAAGTAGACCAAATTTGTTTTACTCACCCTTGACGCCTTGTCATTATCACCTTGTCATTTGACTCATGATTGTTGTTTCAAGAGATGTTGAACTTGGCTAATTTCATATAATTGAGTTTGACAATTAACATAGAGTAAATAAAAAGACAAGTTATAGGGCTTACCCAATCGATGAACTGATCATATATGTGAAGATACAATTCAGAGTCATAAAAAAATCCCAACTATCTAGCTAGGGTTTAGACGAACCTTAGATTGTAACTTTAATTTCAATCTAAACCCTAGCTAGATCGTAATATATTTCTAAATATTTTAATACATATTGTTTCTATGAATTTATATTAGAACCCTAGAATTAATCATCGATATCAAATCCAAATCGTTTGAAAAATAATCTAGGGAAAAATGGGAACTATGCACACTCACCTCATCGTTGTATAGTAGTGTAGACCTCTAAAATGGAGTACGATCAGGTTTAGAAGATGGTTTAGTAGATTCTCAAAATATATTTGTTTTTGTTTTCCAAATATATTTGTTTTATTATATAGGGTGGATTCTAATTTAAAAATATTTCTTTTTTTCCCAAATTTTTTTTTGTCAACAAACTTATATTATTAATAAAATAGTTCAATAATTCAAATCGGAAGAATATTGTTTACATACAAAACAAGATGCACTAAAACACCGACTATACGTGCTAACTTATCCGCTTTAACATTGGTACTACCAAATTTTTTTCCAAATATATTTGTTTTGTTTATATAATGGCCTAAGTCTATAATCAGATAAAAAAAAAATTTACACCAGGAATATTGACAAGGTCTCTTGGTAGCAACTTAGACGACTTAAATTTTTGTAATTAAACGATAAAAAAGTACCATTTTTTTTGGAAGATTAAAATTCCATCATATTCTATATACGACTTTTGGGTTTCATATATATGAAAATTCTTCTTACCCTTATATTGTGATTTGTACGTTAGACACACATTTGTTCAACTTGTTGCAGAGGCCACTTCAACGTGCAACGCTTTGTATAGACCCAAAGACTTTTATTTCAGTTAAGACCACATTCCTCTCTTTGCCGTTCTTGTTTTTTTTTTTTTTATCAGCACTCATATATGTGTGTCTTCAACATGTCAAAGAATGCTTTTTTTTTGGTAAAAGGTAAAATTTATACCAATTTTCAAATTTGCGACAGCTGTTACAAAAAAAAACAAAGAAAGGAAGAAAGACCAAAAATCTACAACTAGAGGATTCGCAAAGAATGTTTTATATATAGGTATATCAAAAAAAATTAAAGCTCTTGGTAAAATTTGTCGAAAGTAATTTAAACAAAGTGACATTCATGGAGATGATATAGTGGATGAGAATTACATAAAGGAAAACAAATATTGAACCAGAAAATATGAATGCAGTAAATGAAGAAGCTAGAGTTGACTTTCCATTCACGTTTATAATAATGAAGAACAAGAATGTATAGATACAAGAGTGACATATCATATGTAAGAAACTCTTATTAGTTTCATATGTCTTAAGAAGCAATAAGACTAGAGCAAACATCTTCCCTAGCTTGGTTAAAGAAAGGCCTAAACATCTCAAGAATCCTAGCCCAAGGGTTTATCACCTTTGGTTGTGATGTCTCAAAGAGAGACTTCCACAAATAAAGTATGTAAGACTTTATGGTTTCTCTCTCAACCCCATTCACCTCAACATCTTTGGAAGACCTCAACGTCTCCTCTAGCTTCTTCAGCTCTTGTTTGTAATGTTCAAAATCAGATGGGTTGATCACTAAGCCATCATCACCAAGAGAGCTTTCTTTGTTTCTTAGTATCGAAACGAACCGATCCAATTCTCTAACTCCAAAAGTAAAGTTCTGTTCAGACTTAGCCATCAGTTCCCACTGGCTAGATTTGCCACCATCTTTACAAACTCCATTCTTAGGTTTGATATATTTTTCAAACACAAATAGAATAACACCAAGCAACCTTCCTACGACAGGACCGTAAACATCTTTGTTCACTGTATCCTTCACTAGCCAAAAACAAAACATAAACATGTCTTCATTAGATAATAAGAGCATTGCTTCAGCCACAAAGAGCGAGAGCTCAACTCCGAGTCTCACAGCCTCTTCTTTCTGCTTCTCATAATTTGTATGAATATTTGTCTCTTTACTGTAAGGAGAAACCCTAAACTTCTTTATAGGGAGTCGGAGTCGGACAACGCCGTGAGGCATTGATTCCATCTTTTTCGAGTGGAAATATCTACGTGAAGAACCCATCGTGGAAGGTTCTAAGAACCTTTAAACAGAGAGATTAAGAGAGTTCAGAGAAGAACCCTAGGTTGTTGTGCGCAGTGTTCTCTAGAAAACTTGTTTGACTAGTAATAATATGAAGGAGTTATGGATACGATTTAAAGAGGACATTATATAGGAAAAGAATAGGAAAATTTTAAGGAAAAAAAATTTATAAGGGAAAATAAACTTTTATAAGGAAAAGGAAATATTATTTATAACGAAATTTGGTGGAATTTTAGGGTTTTAAGTATTAAAGTAGTGAGAATACTATTAAGTTTTTTTTACTCTCAAACAACAAAAAAGTAAACCCACGATAATTTACCAACTTTACCTTGCTGTTGATAGATAGATCGTCACAATATAGTTAGGACTTAGAAAAGGGAGCTGAATAGGTAGACAGTCTTATATTAGATCAGGGATCGTCAAGATTACAAGTAAAGAGCGAAGGCCTATGGGCTTTACAAGAGATATAAGACGAGCTGAACATAGATATGTACTTTCTGTCCCACTCCTAGTTAACTTGCTGTCTTGTCACATCAATATCCCCTTTTTATAGGAGATGGGACACTTTAGTGTTTAATGAGGGTTTTACGCTAATCTCAGGCAGCTGAGCGATTTTGTGCGGGCCGCTCGTAATGGGCCGATCGCTTGATGTGCCGTGGATCGAAGCCCACCTGTCTTTTATCCTTTTGTGCCGGGCGTTGCTTCTAGAAGCTAGTCACTCGCGTCAAGTGGCCGATCGAAGGAGTGGATAAGGGAATCAGGATCCGTGGGCCGAGTCCAACACTTACCACACTTAAGGCCCCGAATGGTAATCCGTTTTGGGTGCGATTGCGATTTGAGTGAGAGAGCTATGTGATTAGTTATAATTAGGAATTATAAGCAAAGAAGAAATTGTTCCTTTCCATTGAGAGTCGCCGAGTGGGCAAAGTATCTTAGCTAGGGTTGCCCCTTTAAACCAAACAGCATTGGACCATGCCACTTTATTTTCACGAGGCCTTAATGATTCCTAAGGTTAAGCCTTTATGTGACAAAACCGGACGGTCAGGCTTCTTGTGCCACCAAGCGTGGCTCACTAACGTGTTGTTTGTTCCATATTTTAAAAGCACATTAATAATCTCTGTCTCTAAACTATTAAAATAAACTAACTCCACCAGAAAATATGAATGCAGTAAGTGAATAAGAGTTAAGTCACATTGGGTACAAAAATGGGAGTTTATATAAGAAACTCTGATTTTTCATATGTGTAAAGAAGCAATAAGACTAGAGCAAACCTCTTCTCTTACTTGGTTAAGGAGAGGCCTAAACATCTCACGAATCCTACTGCAAGGGTTTATCACCTTTGGTTGTGATGTCTCAAAGAGAGACTTCCACAAATAAAGTATGTTAGACTTTATGGCTTCTCTAGCAAACCCATTCACCTCCACATCTTTGGAAGACCTTAACGTCTCCTCCAGCTTCTTCAGCTCCTCTTTGTAATGTTCAAAATCAGATTGCTTGATCACCACGTCACCATCAAGAGAGCTATCTCTGTTTTTGAGTATCGAAACAAACCGATACAATTCTCTGATTCCAAAAGTAAAGTTCTTTCTAGACTTTACGATAAGTTCCCACTGGTTTGATTTGCCACCATGTTTATAAACTCCATTCTTAGGTTTGATGTATGTCTCAAACACATATAGAATAACACAAAGCAACCTTCCTAACACATGAGCGTTAACACTTTCGTTCCCTGCGTACTTCACTAGCCAAAGACAGAAGACTAACATAGTATGTATGTCATCAGATAACAGGAACATTGCTTCAGCCACAGAGAGAGACAACTCAACTCCGAGTCGCACAGCTTCTTCTTTCTGCTTGGTAAGAATAGTAGTCTCTTTAGTGTAAGGAGAAAACCTAGACTGTTGTAAGTTCTTGTTTTGTCGGAATCGGACAACGCGCTGAGTCATTGACATTGATTCCATCTGTTTCGAGAGGATCGAGATGTCTGAAGAATCCATCGTGAAGGGCTAAGATGCAGTGACAGAAGAACCCTAGATCGTGATTGTAACGAAACGATTTTACTCGATCTCTTGAAAACTTCTTTGACAAGTAATGGTAAGAAAGAGTTATGGATGCTTTTTCTTTAGACGATTAAGAATGATATTATATAGAAAAAGGAAAAAGGAAAAAGGAAAGTTTAATACGGAAAAGGAAATATTTATATAAAAAGGGAATTAGTTTTTTTTTTTAATTTTAAATTAGAGAGCATATGTTTTTTTTTTCTTTTTCTATTTTTTTTTCTTTTATCTCTTTAAACAAATTTGAATTGAACATGCCCCTTTATTTTCACGAGGCCTTAATGAATTGATTTCTACTAGGCCTGAGATTTCATGCAGGGTCGAATAATTTGGATACTTGAGTAATTAAGAATTTGAGAAATTTTATTGAAAATAATCGAATTACATAATGGTTTGGTTTGGTTTTGGTATGAGTTTTTTCGGTAAATTTTTTTTTTACCAAAACGAACCAAATATTTTGTATTTTTCGTTAGTTTAGTTAAATTGTGTCAATTATCTCAGTTAATTGAAGTTAAGTTATTTTGTATTTTTCGTTAGTTTAGTTAAATTGTGTCAATTATTTCAGTTAACTGGAGTAAATTAAGTTATTTTCGGGTAATACGTATGGTTAATTCAGTTATATTTGGTCGGTTAATTTGGTCAACTTCGGATAATGCTGGTAATTCGACTAAATTTGGGGAACCGATCTGTTAGGGTTAACCGAACCAATCCGAACTGGTAACTCCATATTATAATTCCTTCAAATCTGTTTTCTTCTCTTTACCGAAACCAAACCAAAAACCAAAAATCTACGTTCGGTTTGGTATTTGCGGTTTGGGTAATATTCCCAAGACTAATACCTAAGGTTAGGCCTGCATGAAAATGGTCAAAGGTTCTGCCCTCAACAATACAATTAATATCTCTCTTTAGCTTGGGAGCTAGATGGCAGTGTAGTGGTATAGTATATAGTCACATGCATCAACCATACCTAAGCGTTTGGAGAATCTTGATTCTTGAGACCATAAAACTTACATCGTAAATATATAAAAACGTATAATATATGCTGGCCAAAACATAATCAAAACCGTGTTGAATTTCAATTATAAACGTAAATAAATTATTCACAAATTAATCAATGTGCACCTTATTCAATTGTAGTAATTAGCGTAGACGATGGTGCTTCGAAACTTCCTAATAACGAGAAAATTTAATAACGAAGAATTATTTGACGCGTACGTAGATAAAGTCAGCCATGTACGGCATCGTACAAACCTATCAAACGTTGAATTTTACAAAGAAAAAAAAAATCAACTGAGATAGTATTTTATATTATTCAATTCTATTTTCTAAAACAAGTACTTAACAAAATAAATTTATCATATTTTAATTTTAGTCACACATATAGGTTTTATTTAGATGAACTTTTAAATAGTTTTAATGATATTAGTTGGTATAGTTTCTAAGAAAAAAAACTATTTTTGTGATTCAATTTTTTTATATAATAAAGAAATATGAAAGAGACAATATAATGATTTAATATTAATTGATTTAATATTTATATAAAATTAAATACTTATTTAAACAATTTTGACTTTACTTTATTTAATATTTTTGATCACATTTATACCCTTAAAATTATTTTTAATAAAAAAATTTTTTCACTAAAAATATTAAAATATATAGTGCATATACTGTAAATTAATAATATTTTATAAAATACTCACAAGAGTGATTTTTTCGGCGAATACACTGGTTTTTCAAAACACTCAAGAATATATAAATATATATTCTGAAAATGAACTTCATTGTTAGTATAACCATTTGTTCGACCAAAAAAGTGGTATTAACATTTGATGTGTTACAAAGAAAAATATAGATTTGATGTTTGGTATCATAGAGTAGTAGTTAGATCCATTATGTACATCTACACCGACACATAATGTATGCTTGGAATATTTTATTTTTTTCGTTTTTTTTATAAACATTATACATTAAATATTAAAAGGACGCATATCCGAATGATTTAAAACTCGAACTCTTAAAACTTATACAACAAAATGGTCCAATTTTAAAGAATGTATCGTTCACCTTAACTAATAGATGGTCCACTATTATATCATCATATCCATAGTGAGTGTATCATCCACATCAGTCGTAGACAATATAATCAACCTAAAAAAGTATCAAAACCAGAAGAAAAAAAGGAATTGAAACGAAACTGGCCTAAATACAAAATACTGGAGTTTCCAAAATATTGGAAATAATATATTCAATAATATTAGTTAATTTGAGATCGAATAATAAAAAATAATATGGATAACCGAATAACCAAATATACCTGAATAATCCAATTGGAACCGCATCAAAAGAACTAATATCCGAATTAGCCAATTCCTAAATTTTTTTAGTTATTCAGGTGTTTTAGTATCTCAATATCTTAAATATTTCACAACATATGTGTTTTAAAACTACCACAATACCATAAATTACTATCTGAATATTTTTTTTAAAGCAACCGAAAGCACCAAAATCTAATAGGGCCGAACTAGCTAGAACCTAACCGAATACCCGAACGCCCAACACTAATCCACATAACAAATAATAGCGAATTGTCTATATGTTTTCTTGGAGTTTTATCATTTGTACATATATTGATGGTTTCATATTACCAGACTAACCACTCTATAATTATTTTCTGATAACCAACCACTCTCTAATTAAATTTGAGTAATACTGTGCTCTAAGGGACATTTCAAAAACACCAATTTTCAAATACCACTTTGCAAATATACCTATTTTTAAAAACTTTATCAAAAACCACCTAAATGTTAAAATTTATCCATATATGTGTGTAACTTTATTAATATATACATATATTATCTTTATGTGAGTGTAAATGTTTGTATATATTTTCTAAATACCTTATGAAAACCTTTTAAATACTTTGTAAACCTTTTAAAAGTCTTATAAAAACGATTTAAAACCTTTAACACCTTATAAATTATTTGAATCGAATATTCCAATAGTACTTATAATCTAAAAATATCTTATAAACCATATAAAACTCTATAACTTTTTATATATAAAAATAAATATTTTTAAAAATAGGTAAAATATGTAGTTTTAAATTGGGCACACCAAAAAAGGGTATTTATCAAAAAATTCTCAATACTCTATGTGCATGCTTCATCAAACAATTATTGATTTTTCGTCGTTACTCTGGAACTAATATCTTCTTTCTTGGAACAATCTGTCCTTACCAACTTTGTTATTTTCAATGGGGAACAAATAACATGTTCATCCAATGAAAAAAAAAAAAGAATAAGAAAGAACAAAAAACAAAACAAGTTGTCCAGCCAAGAGCCAGCCACACCAAAGTGTCTTTTTCAATTTTAATTCAACTCTTTTGATTTTTCTATTGTTCAAACTAAATCCACTCGCAAATCTATCTATATACTGTTTTTATATATAAAAACATATATTCATGATTGGCAACAAATTCATAGAAAAATAAAAGATAGGCTTTAAAGTTTTTAGTGTAGATTCTTGAATTCTAAAGAAAATTCAAAAGAAGAAACCAAAGATGAAGTTTGGGAAAGAGTATGTTTCACAGATGATTCCAGAATGGCAACAAGCTTACATGGACTATGCTTGTCTCAAAACCATCCTTCGAGAAATCCAAACATCGAAGAAAAGATCAGAGAGACAACAAGGTGACTTGAAACCCAAGGTACCCGCTCGCCGAAGCTTCAGTGGCATGACAAAGCGGTACAGCCGCAACTTCTCGTCTCGGGATATCGAAAACCAGGATATTCTAGTTCACCAAACGATTGGAGATGACGGGTTTGAGAAGTACGAGACGACGATCTTGAAAGTGGCAGAAGCAGGGAGAGAGTCAGAGCTTGTGTTCTTCAAAACCCTAGATCTTGAGTTCGATAAAGTGAACCATTTTTACAAGTCTAAAGTGGAAGAGTTGGTGAAGGAGGCAGTGGTTTTGAATAGACAAATGGATGCTCTGATTGCTTTCAGGATCAAAATCAACCAAACTTCTTGTTTATGGAGCTGTTCTGAAACTGTATCGGTCGATATCAATGCCTTGGATGCTAAGGAACAGAGTGAGTTTTCAGAGATTGTTTTGTTATTGGTAACTGGTTTAGTCTGAAAGAGAGCTAACAGTTTGAATTGATTTTGTCTTTGTGTGTGTTTGACTTATTAGAAGGGAAGACATTAGCTGAAGAGACAGAAATCAAAGTAGAAGACAATGGATCCAACGGTGGAGATTCAAGTGTACTAAAGGAGTTAAGTGTTCTTGACCGTATTAGATTAAACAAGAATCAAGAAACTCCTCTGTGCACAATTAGAAACGTCCTCAAGCTCTCTAACCATGAAGAGCTCAAATTCACAAGAGAGAATCTCAAGAAAATTGAAGAACGGCTTAAGAATGTCTTCATCGATTTTTATCGCAAGCTTCGACATCTCAAGAACTACAGGTGTGTTCTTGAATCTTAAGTACAATAACAAGTTTGAAAAAGATTGTTTGATTTAACTCTATGCTCTGTTCTTGATTTATTCAGCTTCTTGAACACTTTAGCCATTTCCAAGATCATGAAGAAGTATGATAAGGTAATATACTTGGATTAATAAAAAACAATATATGTTTCTTGAGACTTATATTAATATGTTTTTGTTATTTATTCTCAATCAGATTGCTTCAAGAAATGCAGCAAAGCTATACATGGAGATGGTAGATAAGTCCTACCTCACTAGCTCTGATGAGGTTAATTCAATATCTCAACACAAACTTTTATTATTTTGTTTCAATAAAACTACAAACTTAAAATCAAACCTTTGATTACTATTTTAACAGATCAACAAGCTTATGTTGAGAGTTGAGTCTATTTTCGTCGAGCATTTCGCCAGTTCGAATCGAAGCAAAGGAATGAATCTCTTAAGACCAAAAGTGACGAAAGAAAAACATCGAACGACGTTTTCCACTGGTAACTAAAAAATCTATCCCTAATCGAATCGAGTCTCTAAGTAGTAGTTTATAAGCACTTAAGTCCAAATCCCTACACTATGTTATTCTTTCACAGGCTTTTTCGTCGGTTGCACAGTCTCTCTGTTGATTGCTCTTGGCATGTTTGTCCATGCTCGGAATATAATGGGTGCGGCCGGACATAAACTCTACATGGAGACAATGTTCCCTCTATACAGGTTCCAACCAAAAACATATATAAGATTGCTCTCTAATTAAACCATTGTTTTCTCGCTGACAAGAATGTTTCTCAAACCTTATTTTTTCAGTCTATTTGCATTTGTGGTTCTGCATATGATCATGTATGCTTCAAACATATACTTTTGGAAGCGATATCGAGTAAATTACCCGTTTATATTTGAATTCAAAGAAGGGACAGAGCTTGGTTACAGACATGTCCTGCTTCTAAGCTTTGGCCTCGGGACACTTGCTCTTTGCGCTGTTCTAGTAAACCTTGATATGGAGATGGATCCTAATACTAATGACTACAAAACCTTCACTGAACTTGTCCCTGTTTTTGTTGTCGGTGTAAGTATTTTTTTTCTTGTATCATTACAACTACTAGAATCTCAAATCCATATGTTATTAATGTAGTAACACATTTCTTATATGTACAATGTATTTCAGATAGTGATAGCTATTTCTATATGTCCCTTCAACATTTTTTATCGGTCAAGCCGCTTCTTCTTCCTCGTGGTTCTATTCCGTTGCATCGCTGCGCCGCTCTACAAGGTATTAAACTCAAGCACATCATCTGCTTTTGCTAATTAAAAACATCGATAAATCTCTCAATATGTTCTCATAAAATTTCAGGTTAATCTTCCAGACTTTTTCTTAGCAGACCAATTAACAAGTCAGGTTTGTGTTTAATCTCATAAGTCATAACATTCTTCTAACGTTCATGCTTAAGTTTTCAAAATGTGTAAACTCATTATTCAACCGTCTTTTTTCAGGTTCAAGCACTGAGGAGTCTAGAGTTTTACATATGTTACTATGGGTGGGGAGACTTCAAACAGAGGAGAAACACTTGCAAATCAAGCAATGTATACAGCACATTCTACTTTATCGTCGCTGTGATACCTTACTGGTCACGTTTCCTTCAATGTGCTCGAAGATTAATCGAAGAGAAAGATATAAGCCAAGGCTTCAATGCTCTCAAGTACTTATTGACCATTGTAGCTGTATGTTTAAAAACAGCTTATAGCTTTAACAGAGGAAATGCCTGGAGACTAGCTACATGGGTCTTCTCGGTCTTGGCAACACTTTATGGAACATATTGGGACATTGTTTATGATTGGGGATTGCTTCATAAACCGTCTGAAAATTTGTTGAGAGAGAAGCTTCTTGTTCCTCACAAATCTGTCTACTACATTGCAATGGTGAGAATTAAGAAAATTTGATAAAACAGTACTATAAACTATGGTTTTGGATATGTTTTATAATTTTGGTTCTGTCTTTGTAGGTCTTAAACGTTGTGTTGAGGTTGGCCTGGGTGCAGACTGTGCTAGATTTCAATATCTCGTTCTTACATAGAGAAACAATGATTGCTCTTATTGCTATTCTTGAGATCATACGACGCGGTATTTGGAATTTCTTTAGGTAACTTCTTAACCAAGAAACTATTACTAAATGGTTCTCAAAACTCATTTTTCTAATTTTTTTTCTTGTTTTGTTGGATTTATGAGCATAGGTTGGAGAATGAACATTTGAACAATGTTGGAAAGTTCAGAGCGTTCAAATCAGTTCCATTACCATTCAACTACAACGAAGACGAAGATCGAATCAGCTAGCTTGTAGATTGGATCAAATCAAGGTTTTTTTTTCAATGAGTGAAGTTTCAATTGTGTAGTTGTGTTCTTAGGTATTACTTTTATTTGTTTGTGAATTGTAAAAATATATAACAATTGGAATGAGATTATTGCAATATTGATGGTTTCTGCAGGTATATATTTTTCTTCTTTCTCACTATGATTTACCCGTAGCTTCCAAGTTACCATCATCCTATTTTCTGGTATCTTGAAGAAATTTGCATCAGAAACAAAACAAACAAAAAAAACTTTGTCTAAACTCTAAAGCATTGGAGCAAATAAGCTATGGAGATTTTGTGTTTCTCCATTTATCAATTCTTGGGTGCAAAGGTATTAAGGTTTACAATACCATCTTCAAGAAATGTCTACACCTTTTCGATATCATTAAATTAGCTCATAAGAGCCAACTGGACGGAAAATTGTTTACAAAATTCACAAAGTAAATTCTAAACCTTTTAAAAGTATTTTTTCGTATATTTGGAAAACTAAAACTTTTGTAGTAGTTTTAGGAAAAAAAAAAACAAATCGTTGTAACTTTGGGGGAAAGAAATAAAAGTGTGGTATTGTAGACAATTTCTCATACAAGTTTTATTTTAATTTTAAATATGTAAAATTATATTTAAAAAATAATATAGAAAACTAATAGATACATAACTGTTTCCTTTCGATTCCTATGCCACATCTTTCTTAATCGTCAAAACAGGAACAAAAAAAAAATCAAATCCATAAGCTTTTTGTTTATGTAGCTTAGGTTACAACGATGAGGTGAGTGGTTTAATTTCTTCTTCTTGCGTAATATTTTCAATTTCTGTTTGTAAATTTGGGTTCGATTTAAGGCTAGAGTGAAGATCTAGGGTTCTTTTCTCTGTTACCATATTGATAAATTAAGATAATTTTCATTTTTTTTTTAATTTTCTATGAATTGTTTCCTTATGCATATGAAAAGCCAACAAAAGTTACATATGGATCCTTCCTTGATGAGTTCATCAGACATCTCAACCATCTCAAAACAAATGGAATCAATGTCCATGACTGACCATGTTCGTGTTCTCCGACACAACAAGAGACTGCCACAGTTTAGATATTGTCCTTACACTATAAGGTCAGTGATTTCTCATTTACTCCCTCTATGTTTCCTTACTCAGATTACAAAAGTGAAAATATCAAATTGTCTAGGACGACTAAGGAGAAGGAAAAGGAGATGGAGAAGCAAAAAGAAGAAGCTAGACGACTCGGAATAGAGCTCTCGTTCCTTGTCGCCGAAGCAATGTTCTTATTATCTGATGACATACGTTCTATTCTACTCTTCTGTTTTTGGCTATTCAAGAACAAAGAAGGGAAAAGAAAATTTCAAGGTCCTGTCTTAGGAAGAGTGTTTCGTGTTATACAACATGTGTTTGTCTTCTACATCAAACCTAAGAAAGGAGTCTATAAAGATGCTGGCCAATCAATTCAATGGGAACATTTGAAAGCTTGTGCTTATTATTTTGCTTATGGAGTGAGAGTTCTTGTTACAATTGTCTCGGTTCTTGAAGGTGGTTGTCTAGTGAAACAATCTGCTTTTAAAGACTATAACCAAGAGGTTAAGAAGCTAGAGGAGAATTTGAGATCTGTCAAGGATGTTATAGAGGCGAATGGGTTTTCGAGAGAAGCTATTGAGTCTCGAGTTCTTTACTTTTGGAAGTCTCTCTTTGTAACGTCGTCAACGGTATTGGTGCTCCCGGATAAGCCTACAGTTCATATGCTGTTTAGGGATCTTTTGAATGAAGCAAGTCGTGATGCTTGCTCTCGTCTACTTACTTCTTTACACATATGAGTTAGAGTTTGTTTGATTGGTAGATTCATTTTTTTGAATAAATGTAAGAGAGAAACTCTGAGATTGCATTAGTATCAAGTGACTTGAAAAGCATTAACAAGGACCATTTTTAAAGTGTACATCAGACTCCTTTACGTTCTCCATAGTCGGTCTTTTATCCAAAATCACACTATGTTCTTTAGGAGAATGACTACGAGTTCACATTTGGCAAAGCTTCTTGAAATACTAAAGAGTACCTTGATGATTTCATATTTTGTTGAAGGATAACACAAAAGTAGGCTCAGCTTCTAGAAAGTACCTTAGTATTGTACACAACCACCTTCACAATTGATAACACAAAAGTAGGCTCAGCTTCTAGAAATACGCAAATTTATGGATTCTAGATATCACAAAAGTCTTCTTGAGGTATTTGTGTGAGCAAAACTTACACATCTAAGTTTAACCAGAAAATAAAAGTGTGTTTAGAATGAACAAAATGGATTTCTTATTAATCAAGAACGGCTCAAAGAATACAAGAAAAGTCTCTAACTCACTTGGATGAACAAGTTATGGTTTTTGCTGAAAGTAAAATTAAGCTAGCATATGGTTCTTGGCTGTTGAATTTCTATTTGTGTTGTATAACCACTTTCATGTTCGCGGCTGCGCCTTAATATTCATGGTTATAAAGCGATTTAGTAAAAAAAAAAACACAAATTATGTAAGCTACGACGCTATAGCCACATAATATGAAGTTACGACGTTATAAATTGAATCTCTTATTGGATCAGATCCATAACACAAGATTAGTTATTTTTTGGTTTGGATCAGGTAACTGGGTGGAAATGAATCACTGCCCTAAAATTATTTTTAAGAATTGTCCTTAATTATATTATATAATATATTTGTTTAAAAACTAGCTATCTAAACCAATAGTACTTCAATAAATTAAATACTTAATTTTTAGTACAATTTACAGTTTACTGATTTTAATTATTAAAAATACATTAAAATCTAAGAAAGCTCTAGTTTAAATAATAAAACAAGAAATCATCTTAAAAGCTAATTTGTTTAGAAAACTGAGGGACTAACACTAATTCCACTTTTAAAGTAGCTTATACTGTATAGGAAATTTCAAGAATTATAATTGTTTTGGATCTAATTCTTTTATATTGTCATGTAACTGGAATTGGGTTTGATTTTATTCTTAGACATTTTCTATAACTTCTAAAACCTAAACATTTTTTTAATAATCAAATTTCTTTTTCTTTCAAAACAATGTTCATTTACCAATATGACTTTGTGGTCTCACTGTTGGTTGTTTTGTTACTAGTTCTAGTTTTATTATGTGTCTTAAAAACAGGCTCGGACTAAACCACAGCAAACAAAAATAGAAATACTAGTTGGATATGAAATATCTAAGGACTTGTGTGCCACTAAAAACCACTTTTGTATTTATTTTAGAAAATTAAAATATTGCACGAAAATACAATAAGAAAACAAAAAACGAAACTTGTTGAATAATGGAGTTGTATCAAACCATTCTTGTTGCTATCTTGGACTCCCTGAAAGCACCAAAACATTGGAGAAACTGAGAAAGCTTCCATGTTAAGTCCAAACATATATATCTTTTAACAGTTTTAAAATTACAGACCTATTTTAAAAAAAAATTATCAACCTAATTTATTATAATGTTTGCTAACAAATTTGTTCAAAAGTCATAGTATTACCTGTTTAGTGAGTTGTACTGCTTCTCCGTATAAGATTGTTTCAGCCGAACGGGTTCATGAACCACTTTGGTTTGTAGGAAACCAATATGTATCCAATCGTAAATCCAAAGAAAATACCAGGTATGAATCCTATTGTAGCTGTTATCCAACTAATCACCACTTTGTCTTCTATCTCTGATTCCGAGGTTTCGGACTTTTGTTGTGATGCTTGCGTGTGAATATCTCTGCAAATTTCGTCAAGAGAAGAGCCAAAAAGTCCTAGGTTATCTTCAAAGGAAGAGCAATTCTGCGTTTGAAACTGATTTCCTCCTGGTAGTAGACCTACAAGCTTGTTATGAGAGAAGTTCATGTACGCAAGGAACGAGAGTTTCCCTAGCTCTTGTGGAATTTCTCCTGAAAGCTTGTTTTGGGAAACGTCCAAAGACTCGAGAGCTGTGAGGTTCCCCATTGATGAAGGTATGCGGCCAGTGAAAGCATTGTTTGACAAGTTAAGCACATGAAGCTCTTTCATTACACCGATGGACTTTGGAATCTCTCCTTCGAATTTGTTTCCTGAAAAATCGATTGCTGTGAAGATTTTTAAGATACGTACCAGCTCCATCCTTACACCTTTATTCATCAAAAACAGTGAATGTTGGTAGTAATTGCCTGATCCCATGTAGTTTACACTCGCCGTATCTTCCTCTGTCCCAAGTGATGACATAGCACTCCACTTCAAAAAAAAATCTGATGGCAAAGTTCCATTGAAGTGGTTATATGATATGTCGATGATTCGCAACTTACGGAACAAAACTTGATGTATTGGGCCATGGAATGCATTGGAGCGAATGACAAGAACTTGTAGGTTTTGTAGAGAACTCAACCAGACTGGAAAGATGTCTTTTAAACGGTTGCTTTCTACATTCAAAATTTCAAGAGTAGTGGAACGGATCAAAGATCTTGGAAGCTTTCCCACAAGTTGGTTATGACCGACGTCAAGCGACCTTAGACTTTCAAATATATTATCTGGTAGACCTCCACTAAGATTATTCTGTCGAAGGTTTAGATCTGTAAGAGTATTCTTGAGATTTCCCATACAACGAGGGATTGATCCATTGAAGTTATTGTTAGATAAATCGAGGATACTTAGATGATGCAAAGCGCATATGAAAGAAGGAATCTTGCCTGTGAAGTTGTTTTTGGAGCCAAGAAAATTACTCATTATATATGGTTGCCATACAGAGACTAGCCCAAGTTTCATTGGTTTTTCGAAGCTGGTAAAAGTGTTGTTGGAAAGATTCACGTCTGGTAACATCCATAACCAGGCAGGAACTTGACCTTCAATTTTGTTGTTGGAAATGTCTAGACTTGGTTGGGTTTTTAGAGCACGCAACGACGGAATATTTCCGGTAAAGTTGTTGTTAGATAATTTGATGTAGACTAGATAAGGCAAGGCGCATAAAAAAGAAGGAATCTTGCCTCTGAATTTGTTGTTAGAGATGTCAAAAGACTCGAGAGCTGTGAGGTTCCCCATTGATGAAGGTATGTGACCAGTAAAAGCATTGTTTGACAAGTTAAGCACAACAAGCTCTTCAATTAGACTGATGGACTTTGGAATCACTCCTTCAAATTTGTTTCCCGAAAAGTCGATTACTGTGTAATTTGTTAAGGTAAGTTCCACTGGCTCCAACTCTACACTTGTATTCATCAAAACCATTGAATCATCGCAATAACCTTTTTTTACAGTGTACTGTAGATTGAAGCAAGCTTTTCTTGTCATAAATGATGACATAGAATTCCACTTTTCACTTGATGACATAGCACTCCACTTCACAAAGTACTCTGATTGCAAAGTTCCATCAAAGTGATTATGTGATATGTCGATGATTCGCAACTGAGGGAATGAGGCTTGATGTATTGGTCCATGGAATGCATTGAAGCGAAGGATAAGAATTTGTAGCTTCTTTAGAGAACCCAACCAGAACGGAAACGTGTCGTTGATTCTATTGTTTTGTACTAGCAAAACTTCAAGATTAGATAAACTTAACGATCTTGGAAGCTTTCCCACAAGTTGGTTATGGCTGACATCAAGCAACCTTAGACTTTCAAAGATATTTTCAGGAAGATCTGCACTCAAATTATTTTTACCAAGGTTTAAAATGGAAAGGGAACTCTTGAGATTTCCCATACAACGAGGGATTAGACCATTAAAGTTATTTTCAGATAAATCGAGAGTTTTGAGAGAACGCAACTCACATATGAAAGTAGGAATCTTTCCCGTGAAGTTATTGTTGGAGCCAAGCAAGTGAACCAGAGATGGTTTCCAAACAGAGGATAGTCCTTGTTTCTTCTTTGATCTTTCAAAGCTAGTGAAGGTGTTATTGAAAAGATTCACGTACTCCAACTTTGGTAGAGTCCATAACCAGCCAGGAACATGACCTTTGATTTTGTTGCTGGAGATGTCTAGAAGCCTCATTTCATGTTGGGTTCTTAGGAGCTCTGGAAACTCGGTGATACTGCAGCCTGAAAAGCCTAGTGTAGTCAATTTCGAAGGGGGATTTGAAGATGAACTTTTCTTTGTTGTTGAAACACGGTTGCCTGAGAGATCTAAGTGAGAGAGGCTTTTGAAATATGATAAGATATCATACAAGTCAATCGTAGTGGTGGTGTTCAAATACGATAGGTCAAGAACTTGGAGTGACTTGAGATGCGAGAAAATACTAAAGTCAACCGGGCCTTGGGTGTCGAAGTGAGAGAGGTCAAGTGTCCAAAGGTTGACTAATTTGGAAATGGATTTTGGGATTGGCCCTTTGAAGATGTTGCCACCAATGTGTAAATCTTGTAGGTTAGATGGTGGAGATATGTTCCCAAACTCAAGAGTGCCACTGAGTTGGTTATCATTCAAACCAATGAAAGTCAAAGAAGGAATGGTGAAGAGAGAAGACGGGATAGCTCCAGTAAAAGTATTGTGACTTGCTTTAAAAATGCTCAACTTTGAAAGTGAAGTTATATTGGGAGGAAGCGCGCCACTGAAATTATTATGCGAAAGGTCAAGATAGGTGAGATGAAAAAGATTTCCAAAGGAAGTTGGAATCTGACCCGAGAAATAATTAAAAGAAAGGTCGAGAGAGGTGAGATTAGAAAGATTTCCAATCGAAGACGGGATTTTGCCAGTAAGAGAGTTGAATGAAAGGTTTAGAGTGGTTAGGGAATGAATGTTTTGAAGAACACTATTAGAATGAAACTGACCATGGAGAAAACTGCAACTAAGGTCTAGCTCGGCCACTTCTCCGGAATTAGCATTGCACGCAATACCCTTCCAACTACAGCAGTCGCTATTACTCGTCCATGATTCCGTCCGATGAGATTCAATGCCATACATCTCACAATAAGGATTACGCTTTCCAATCTCAAACTCGTTTCTGAACTTGAGAAGTGCATCCCTTTGTTCGGGACGACACAAATCCCTAGTAGAAGCAGCAAGCACATCTTCAGAAGCATAAATGTAAAAGACAATAAAAGAAAGAGTTATAGGAATAATCATCGTTGAGCGCCAAGAGTCTTTCATTTGATTTTCTAGAATTATCAACAATGAAGAAAACAGGAAGTTGTGATGGTAAATAACATGGTTTCGTGCACATCTCTGTATATACATAATAATAGATTCCACTCCACGAAGATAAATCCAAAACAGCTTGACTGACTCAAGTTAGATGCAACGTTATTACATGTATGAAATATGAATGGTCAAGTTCCACATGTTTTAGTTGTGCACAGCGTCAAAGACTTTCATAAATTTTGTCCAAAAAAAAATTCGGAAAACGTCTTAAGGGCATGTGCAGCAACGTCGGCAGAAGACGTCGCACACAATTTTTTTTTGAAAATAAATTAAACGAAAAAATATCAAGGACGTTTCTACAATCGCGACTCTCTTGTTTTGTTTTTTACTATACGCGGGTCCCACTGACGATCACCGCTACACATAGTCTAAGGCGCAATAGTGTAGGGGGACAAAAAAAAGATAAGAAACATGCCCATTTAACTACATGCCACCATTTTTGAAAAGAAATCACATATACGAGACAAAATAACAGCAGTTATTTGAAAAATATTAAAGAGGTATATATATACAAAATATATAATATACTATTTTGTTATTCAGTCATAATTTAATATAAAAAAATCTAATGTTTAAATAATTAGTTTAATTATCTAATAATTAAACATGACCTTTTGACTATTATCTAGTCAGTCATAATTCTTAAATTATCTAGTGTTATTAAACTAATAATTTTAAAATCTATATAATAAACCTTAATCCAACATAACATCGTTCAGTTGGAAAAAAACATTAAACTCTATATTGTGCTTTATAAACCCAAACCGATATATCTTATCTTGTAAAAATTAATACACATAACATATAATTTATTATTTTATTGATAATATTAAAAGATATATTTTGATTATGTGATTGGTTAATATTTCAGAGTCTAATGGATTTGCAAGAGAAGCTATAAAGTCTTTTTTTTTTTTGTCGCCAGAAAGAAAATAACTATGGTACGCTCAGAAAGAAGCTCTCCGCTAGGGGGAGCCAACTAGGAGCCGAGGTACTCATGTAGGAGAACAGACAGTCACGCGATCGAGCATTTTTGGCCAAATGGTCCGCTCGGGTGTTTGAAAGTCGGGGGATAAAGCGGATATGGAATCCCGGGAGAAGATCTTGGAGGGATTTGAAGGACTCCAGTTCCGCTGCAAAAGAAGGCCAATCCGCTGTCAAAAAGAAAACTTGATGTAGTCAACAAATTTATACTAGACCATCTCTGGCCTATGGCGTTCAAATGAACTTTCTCCAAGTTCTTTTTCCTTGCTGCCTTTAGCTGATTGAAAAGAGAAAGAGAAAGAAAGTGAAATGTTCCGTCGACTATTTCGGCGTCCATAGGGAAAACCTCTCCTATCGCTCCCAACGCTACCGCTCCTATAGCCTTGCCTTGAACTCCTAGCTTGTGGTAACGTTCTTGTGTGGCTCAATTGTCTCCGTACCTCTTCTGGTAGCTGCAATGTGAATCTGTCAAGGTTCTCGCCTCGCGGTACTAGAGAATGTCCGGTGGAATGGGATCTTGGGAACAAAATCTCGGTTATTCTCCAGTTTGATAGCCCTGTAGACCTTGATCGAGGCGGTCTGGTTGCCCCGGTGTTAGTATTGCTCCATGTCAATCTATCTAGCAACCGTACATCTGGAGATTCCAATACATTTCTTCGCGTGTTTCCGGTTTCAAGATCCATATCAGGTGGGCGTAAAGACGAATACAAAGAGCTTTGTTCAGTGCCGGGCTTGGGAGGGAGACTAGCACGACAAACTGGACATGTGGAGCGAGAAGTGAGCCAAACATCTATGCAAACTACATGAAAGGCATGGCTACAAGGAGGCATCAAACGAAGTGTTTCGTCGTCCTCAAACTCGTTCAAGCAAATCGCGCATTCCACGCCGCCTTTGCCTATCTTTAGCCCTTTAACTTGTGAATAAAGAAAGGAAGGAAACGACTTTATCACATCCTGGTCAAGTCCGCGGCTTGTCCTTCTTATCCACGCTACTTCTCCATCACCTCCTTCTTCGGTATCCGAGCTGGTTCCATGAGGAGATGTGCTTGTGTATTTATAGCAAACGAAACAAGCTAACAAGCTGAATAAGAGCGTGAACAAAAGCATCGCAATGATTACCGTGGATACTTGATTTGGTCTTGGGGCACTATATGGACCAGTGACTCCAGGCTGATACTGGCCAGTGACTTGGATAACAAGTAAACATAGGAAGACAACATGATAAAGTGACAAGACATGAGTCTTTCCCATTGTCACCATGTGAAAGGAGCTTTGGTTTTGGTTATGTTATTACACGATCATCTTTTGAACTCCATGTTCAAAGGTAAGGAAGAAGTCCATAGACATTAAATGTTTGGGTGAAGTGCTTAACACGTTTGATCGTGACGGAGAGTACTAATTGTATAAATCATGTTTAAATATTTCACTAAGCTTAGTTTAGTCGTAATGATTGGGTCGGCTTTGTTCATCTGACGTTTTGACTTTGAAGAAGTCGTAGTTTTTTAGTACAAACTTCATCTTCCCTCACTTTAACTAAAGCGTTGGTTAAGCAACTTGACTTTTGGGCACAAAAGGTTTGTTTTCTTTACCTAGTCCGATGGTAGTTAAGTTGAAACTGAATGGTTCAGACAATTTTCTTTTATTTGGTAGTGAACAAGGTAAGAAAGGTCTTCATGCAATTTATCGGACAATATGAAAGAAAAAATTAAACTGTATCCGAATTTGCCGTGGAAACAAAGTTCTCCGGACATCATATCTAACTATGGACTCCACAACTGTTGGAGCCTCATCTAACATATAAAAACCTAAAAATTCGTAAAAACAAAGTTTTTTAATAAATATGCGTAACACAAACTATCCAGTTCCGAAAAATATAAACATGGCAAAAATGCACCACAAAAAAAAAAACAATGGATAAACATCACTAATTTCCGTCTTAAGAAATCCAACCACAATCTCCGAGTTGACTTGCAATTCACCCCGCGTGATTCCCTTCCCCCAAGCAACATAAAAACCATAATAAAATTAATTATTAATGATATTTTTCTTGATAAGCTCATTTTGTGCTAACTTCTCTGTTTAAATAGATCACTAGTAGACTTTCATTTTAATATCTATTATATGTAATTTCAACAAATTTTCTAACTTGGATTTTTATTAATTTAGTGATGGAACTAAGATATTTAATCAGTTACATTGACTCTGAAAGTTTCTTAATGACTTAAGAGATTTATAGTATTAGTTAAGTACTACACTTATGGTCAAGTTTATGTAGTAGGGTCTACTATGCCATAGTTTTGATGTGGAAATATGTATGTTTCCAATGATATATGTGAGTATACTTTTATACAATTTTCTGAATTTGGATTTTATTTTGCTTTGGTTAAGAACACACAAACATAAAAGTTTAGGAAAGCTAGAGTGTGTTTATCAAAATAAATATTCATATTTATTTTACTAAACAATATACAACATAGAAATTATCACAATGATATTTGCTAGATATCATGTAATAACCCATGATAGAAGCGAATGAATCAGTTTCGTAACCCATCCATAACCATTTATCTCAGAGAAAGTTTTTACAATAGTTAATATATTTTGACTTAATTGTATCGCATAGTTGTAAATGCAATTTTTCTGAGTCTTAACATCAATGTATAGAGCTTTATTCACGTAATATACATGGGGAAAAATGTCAATTAAATCTTGAACTTGTTGGTCAACGCCATTTAAACCTTGAACTTTGTCTAAGACCATTTAAATCGTGTAGTTTTGTTTGACTATCATTTTAAACATCACATTTTATTAACCAAGACAATTTACACAGTGCGTATAAGAAAAAAAAATCCCCAAATAAAAAAACTAACTCTAAACACAAAATCGATTTCTCAATTTCTTCTTCTTCACCTTCTTCTCTTCACGATTTTAAACTATAGTTGTTTTTCTTCTCGACCTCTGAAAGGCCTTGCTGTAGAGCTTCAACTCTGTATTTGATCTTAGCCTCTGAAACGCCTTCCGGCGGTGTTCCAACATCATCTCCGGTCTCGGCCTCTGGAACGCCTTGTGGTGCCTCTGAATCGTTTTGTACCGCAACGTGTTCCTCTTCTCTGAATTGGAAAGAGAGAATTGTGTTTATTTGGGTGATTTAGAAATTAGAGTTTAATTGTGTGATTTTGGGGATTTTTTTGATATTTTGATTCACAGACAAAAACTCCATCTGTAAATAACGGATGGCTTAACGGATGTTAAATGTTGTTCAGTTGCTCCGGTTTATGATTTTACGATATGTGTAAATTGGCTTGGTTAATAAAATGTGATGTTTAAAATAATAGTCAAACAAAACTACACGATTTAAATGGCGTTAGGCAAAGTTCAGGGTTTAAATGGCGTTGACCAACAAGTTCAGGATTTAATTGACATTTTTCCTAATATACATGTGACGTCAATGAGTTTGCCAAAGCATGATATTATCCGTTTTGGACTCATAGCTCATGCCCACACGGATTATTATTGGGTTCTTTCCTAAAAAGCCTTATACTTGTTGAAGTTGGATTTGATTTATATATTAAAAACTTCTATTTCTACAGATGTGGGATCAGAGGCGGATCCAGAAACTTATTTAACATGGGGCATATAGTTATTCAACATAAAAATAATTCAACATGAATCCAAAATATAATAATAATAATAATATTGAAAAAAATTATAACCGAACAAAGAAATAACATTAGAGAAATATCATAAGATAAAAAAACAGTTTTTCCAAGAATTCCTACAAAACTACTCTATGATCCCCCATGTCTTGAAATCTTTTTATCACTACCTCATTTGTTACTTTACTCAAGTGCTCTTTCGATAAAACAAACCATACAATCGTTTAGAAATTGATCACCCATTCGGTTTCGTAAGTTAGTCTTCACAATCTTCATCGCAAGAAAACATCTCTCAACTGCAGCAGTGACAACAGGTAAAGTCAAACCTAACTTCAAAAGTCGATAAACAAGAGGATGTGACAGATGTTTTTTGTCTCTATCATCACACGTGCAAGATCTCCAAGATCCTCCAAATTAGCAGATCTTTTATCTTCACGAATATTGTCGATGTAAATATCAAGTTGATACTCAAGAGATATTCTCTCCATGGAACTAAAATCTTCTGGATAAAACTTAGATAATCTCATAAGTTTTGACTGATCAAACTCATGAAATGAATCATTAGGGCTCAAAGATGCAGTGCAACCAAGCAATTCAGTATTTACCTCGTCAAAACGATCATTAAACTCTTGAATTTGCATATCCAATCAGAATAAGAACATTCGACCTGATAATGATGCAAGTTTGTTATGTTGCTTCTCCGTCTTGGCTTCTTTGGATCTACAAATTCTTCTTCCATGATGATCAACTCAGTTTTATTATTCTCACAAAAAGAATTCACTTTTTCAAACACAGAATTCCATCTATTTTCCCGGAGGTTATACAATTGCTGCTTGGTGGATTTCACTAGAGACATAGCATTCAAAATGTCTTGATCTTTTCTTTGTGGAGCCACTAATAAACTATTCGTGAGACCAAGAAGAAGTAACATCAACTGTAAGTAGAATACAAAGTCAAAGGTGTGAAAGTATTTAAGGAGACCATTAGCCTGACGTCTTTTGATACCATCAGTCCCTTCGCTTTCAACATACTCAAGCACTTTAATGATAGAAGGGAAAAAATCAACCAATCGTAACAAAGTGTTGTAGTGAGAACCCTAACGAGTATTACTTGGTCTTTGAAATGAAAGCTCTTGGTTCAGTCCTTTTCCTGTCTTAATTTCACCTCGACTGATTCCTTCTTCGATTATCTTTCGTTGGTCTTCTCGAACCATATATTTTCTCTTACAAGAGGCACCAACCACATTTAACAAGACAGAAATCATATCAAAGAAATCACCAACTTCAAAATGCTTTTTAGCAACTGCCACGACAACCAACTGAAGCTGATGGGCAAAACAATGGACATAGTACGCTGAACTATTTTCTCTTAAAGTCAGATATCTCAACCCATTAAATTCACCTTTCATGTTACTAGCTCCATCGTAGCCTTGTCCTCTTAACTTTTTCATTCTCAATCCACGCTTTGCAAACAATGAATCAATAGCACATTTCAGAGTTGCAGAAGATGTTTCTGGAACATAAATAACACTGATAAATATTTCTTTAACTATCCCATCTTTATCAACAAAAAGAAAAACCACTGTTACTTGCTCTTTAGTAGAAACATCTGCAGACTCATCCACCAACGAGCAAAAAACATCATGATGAACTTCTTGAATAACAGATTCGATAACTTCCTCTCTAAAGTAGTGCACTATATCTGTCTGAATTTTGTGAAACACCATCTGATTATTTTTTGGAGCATTCTCCAGTACAACCTTACTTACAAGCTCATTTTGTTCTGCAGTATATTTCACAAGCTCTATGAAGTTTCCCATATTAGCTGATTCAACCGACTCATCGTGACCTCGAAAAGGTAATCCTTGTCATACTAAATATCTACACGCATTAATTGAAGCATTCAATCTGATCCTATATTCATTTTTTACTGCATCATCTTGCTTATAAAAAGCATAAGCAATTAATTGACCTTGTCTCATCAAATTGTCAGCCATCTTCAACGCATTATTGTGAAAACTATTCACTGATCCTACATGATCACTCAATCTTTTTGGATTTTTCCAAGTATCAAATCCTTTTGTCACAAATTCATCACTTCCACCTTTATTTTCGGTGTAATCTCCAAACAAGTAACAAAACAAGCAATATGCCTTGCCTTTCTTCACACTATATTCCAACCAATCAGCATAAAGATCAAACTATGCTTGATTAAATCGTCTCAATTTATCTCAGGTTAATGTTGTAGCAAATTTATGACCACGAGGTTGGTAAGGACCTTTGATCAAATATTTGCGTCTTACCTCATCTCTTTCATTAGGATGATATTCCAATATTTTTTTCCTGTATGCTGGGTCTGAAGGCAAATTCTCCAAATCAGTGTGAGACGTCGCTGTAGATTTTTTTGGAAAATATTTTTCCATTGATACCTAGTAAAGAAAAAATAATATTGAATTCATTACATATATAAAACAATGGATGGAGATTATCGATATGTTTTTAAAGCAGAAGCAAATCAATATAAAATATCAAATATATTGTTATGTAAAGAAAATTCTGAATTATTAACTTACTTTTGTTTAGGAATGGTTCGATGCAAATACAGAAGAAGAGAAGAAGAAGAAGGAAAATTTAGTTTATTAATTCTTATGATGTCTTGGGTTATATAATAATTGTGGACTAGGTTTAGACTAGGTTTAGGTTTTACATTTAATTTTCGTAGATAAGGCTTTGGATTTATTTGATTGGGCTCAATTATTAGTGTTTATTTAGTGATTAAACTTAGATATTTATTAACTTAAAATTTAATAATATAGAAATAAAAAACGTAAATAGACTTGGGATCATATTTATATGTGGCACTAGAATGATTATATATTATATTATAGGTAAATTTTTTTTTTTTCCAAAATTTAGCATGTGGCACGTGTCACATGTCTTTCTTACCTACATCCGTCTCTGTGTGGGATATTGGTTTGTATTCTAATAATCATGCATGTCCTTATCATATCACACTTACATTGCTCAACGATTTAGCTCGGTCTTGGATATGATAACGAAGGTCTACAATTAGTGGATATAAAATACGAAAAGTTCGTAGCTACTCAAAATTTCACAACTTACTTGTAGCATAACACATTGTAGACATCTCTTGTAAATGAAAAGAGTTCAAATTATTTAGAAACAAAATACAAACACACATAAAAGGAGTAGTCCTCACTTATTCAATAACTCCCCCACATAGACTCACATACCTATTCCTCTAACAAGAGGTATTGGTCAATTTCGTTAATAACTTTGATGAAGAACTGAAGAAGCCTCTCTGGATGAGCCACCTTCTCATGAATCCTCTCATACTTCATGTTCCACTTCACCACACTTCCATGCCCTTCATGCTTAGGGCTCACCTTCAACGTTTTCAAGAAGCTCTTGTACTCTTTCATTACAGGTCCTTCTAACACCCTCCACTGAATCATATTCTTCTCCATATTCATGGCGTCGGTCCTGTCCTTTGACTCTCTTGGCTCTCCATCTACACCAAAATACACTTAAATGTCAAAAAATTATATTTTGTTATTTGTTATTTGTTATTTGTTTTTTTTGGTGAAAGCTAGATCAATAAGTCTAGTGTAGTTGAAAACAGTCGTGGATCTACAAAAATATTTCGTATGGAGCACAATATTTTTTTTAATATAAATTTGTTTTAAAGATCTGATATTTGTACATGATCTAGCTATTATATTCATATGTAAATAATTCTTAAATTAATGAAAGAAAAAAAAAAGATTAGAATTGACATTTAAATAAAGCATGCCTACCATAAAAAGAATAGAATAAAATTGGTGTGACACCATGAAGTATATAAACACACAAATGATAAATTTGGTGTGAGGCACTACCCAGTTTGGACGGTTTATCTTTTCGTATAAACTTAAATATATATAAAACACAGTTTAAAAGTATATAATTCAAACAAAAAAATATTTAAATGAAGTAATATAGTTATTAAATTATAAAGTTAATATTTTTCATAATTTTATAGAATGTAACATAATATAGAAATATGACCCAAAAAAAAACGTAATATATTTTTTTGATTTGGGGATGTCCTACACTATTCTATTTGATAACTTTAACAAACAGAAATCTCATTTCAAACCATAAACATTTAACATTATTTCTGTTTTTAATATATTTTTGATCAAATCAGATTATTTATAATTCCATACTTTCCATTTTATTTTACCAAAACTTGCACTATTCAAATTAAATGTTTATAGTTTTAACAATAAAACCAATATATATAATTGTATCTCTTACCAAAAACTAATCTCCAAAGGAGTATGCTTCCAACCTTGCCCCATTCTCCTTCGAGAAGATCACATCCCTTAATATAGGGAGTGGCTTTGGACAGTTGTTGTGATCTTCTGATCACAAACATGAAGAACTTATCAGCTTTAGTTTGGATCTCAATTTCCTCCACCATTGTTTCTCTTAGAATTCTTAGCTCCTTTGGAAATAATGGAATCTTTATGAGAATGAGGAACAAAAATGTAGCTCCTTTTATCAAGAGGATGGAATGAAGAACAAAAATGAGAAGTGGTTTCTTTCTTTGGATCATCTCATCATTTATGGAGTCAACTACTTTTTGCTCCTATATTCAATTAATTTTGGTACATTATCATTTTTTTTTGTCTACGCATTACTAGAAAACATGCCAATTTCCAAAAATAGTATTTGTCGAAAATCTGTCAGAATTGACATATAGAGCTTAAAGCATCCACAGTCATCATCTCCTAAATGAAGTTTACAATTGAATAACATTAAATAAATAAATATTAAATTATCTAAAGTTGTAAACTAATGAAAAAGTTACACTTGGCACTATAATGTCTTTAAAAGAGGATATCATTTAAAAGGTATCAATCAAGAGTTATATGCTAATTAATTAGATTTTTTTTTAAAAAAAATTACATTTCGAAATAGAAGTGGGAAAGAAGAGAACTTAACAAATCCTTACTTATGTGTAGTCAAGATGTAGCCTCGAATAAAACATAATTGATAGAACAAAAAACTTTACGTATCTATTTAATAATGTAAATAATGTATGAATGAACGGATTGAGATTGACTTATAGAATTGAAGAAGCAACGGTGTTGAAATTGAAATGACATTGTCGGGAAATAATGCGTTTAGGAAGACATTGTAATCGTGAGCTTTTAGGCTACATGCATTTTTATCTTTTTTTATAGTAACATGGTGTCCTAAACTAAATATAACTAAATTTATATATATATATTTATATATATATATATATATATATATATATATATATATTAAGCAAATAACTCTCTAAATTACTATCTTTTTACAATTTTATCCTAAAAAATCTCAAAAATATTAGTCAATTCTGTGAAAAAAAAATGAAATACAACCCGTTTTTGTTAGCAGTTGGTTTATAAAATTTTGATAAATAATATATAAAATTGAAACCTCACGACGCAAAGTTCAAAAAAAGTATATGAAATATAATCCGTTTTTGTTAGCAGTTGGTTTATAAAATTTTGACAAATAATATATAAAATAAAAGTCTTTACGATGATAATTATAAAGGTATTTTAGATTAAACCATAACAAAATAAAATAATATATTTTGATTTGGTTTAGTCTTTGAGATTATGATATTATTTTATCACCGCTTTTCACTTTCATCTAAAATATCTAAAAAAATTTAAGATTTTTTTGTCTCTTTTTTTTGGCATTTTGCTTAAAAGAAAATTATGATCATTGTGACTAAAATTCTGGCTCTGGTCTTCGCCACGTTTTCTAAATACTAATTAATATGAATATAAATAAAGTGAAGTGGTCCACCATTTTTAGTGTTTACTCCTGAAGTTGTCAATTGTGCGATTTGGCCTTAGCGGTGGACGCAAGACCAATTTGGCAATTTGGCAATTGGACGTATTGGCAATTTACTATAATCACGTTTCTTTTGTTACTTTTATTTCTGCCAATATATATTGGGCGTGTTCGTTTGGTCATCGCAGGCGGCGGCGGCAGCGGCATTAGTGCAGTTTTGATCGTTGAATCGAATCAACGTTCAATATTATTAGCCGCAGGACGTTACGTTAGCCATTGCGGTAACTTGCGACGATCAAACGAACAACAAGATCTGCGTTCGCCGCAGCCGCAGGTACCTACGGTGACCAAACGAACAGCTTAATTATCAAAAAAATTGGAAAAAACACATATTGAAAGATTCATTTATATATACATTATATGATTTACTATTGATGAGATCTGTTTTATATTAATTAAAATTCGATAGTTACAAACTACATTTCTTTTTCTTTAAAACATTTGGGTACTCAAGGAATTTTGGGTAGAAACCGATCGAGTTCGGTTCCTTCGAGTAGAAAAGTTTAACATCCATTATGATACACAAATACCCGTTATAAAAATTTTGGGTAAATATCTGGAGTTAGGATAAATACCCGAATTTTCTAGTAAAATTGAATTTGGTAAAATATTGGACGAAATTCCAGATATTTAAGAAAAAGTTTCGGAGTTTCAGATCCTTAATTATTATTTACTTATATAATTCAGGTATTTTTGGGTTTATATTTTGGTTGGATTCGGATTCAGGTTGAATTATTCGGGTATGTCCCGGTTCGGATATTCATTTTACTTAGACTTAACTCAATTAATTGAATTATTTATTACATTGGTTCGATCGTTAATTATTGTTTGGTTTATGTTGTGGTTATTGATAATTATATAATACTAATTATGATTCTTTAAGAAAACCGTCGAGTTGTTTTATAAATATTTCATTGTGGTTTAACCTTTTTAAGACTATTGTGATAAATTTGGCCGACGTAATGTCGAAATAAATGTATATCGTCTTTATCAAAAATGAAAATCATTTGATTGTTACATAAACTTCATGTCCGTTAGCTGAAAGTGGGTAATATGGCAATACTAAGACAAATATATATCCTTTATTTTTGTGATTTGTTCTTATTCATATCATGATTAAATTAATTCATCTATATAAATTATATTTTGACGAAAAAAATCCATCTGGCAGATAGCAGCAATGTGCAATATTAACAAAAAAAAAAAACAAAGAAATATTAAATAAGTGATTTATTCTTGTACAATAAGGTAAACTTTTTGGTTGTTAAATTTTTGTTATTGAGTTAAATTTCATAAACAATAACTTTTTTGGATGAATATTTATTATTTTAGTGTAATATTTATTATTGATTTAAATTTCCTAAACAATAATTTTTTAATATTTCTTCAACAAAAATTATTACCATAATAGATTTCATTGTCTTTTGACTATTTTCCCTTGATTTCTAGTGAAATTTGTGGCTAGGCCAGATTTATCAAAATTTAATGTCTCAATCATGTTTCCGGTATAATTTAATAAGGTGTTTCTGTTTAGCTCACCAAGACCTCTATTGAACCAAAATTATTAATTGCTTTTCTTTCTTTTATTTCCAACAAAACTGCCTTATGAAGTTACACATATTTTTTTATCGTTTACTACATCATTCATTGTAAACTAAATCTTATCCTATCCAAACGAATTAATTCAGACGAGCCAATTCTAAGAAATATTATTTATATACCTATATATATAAAGTTAGTTTTTCTCTCTTCTCATGATGTCACCTAAGCATCTACTTAAGCCACATTTTTGTTTTTACATTATAATAAATTTAAAACATTCATTTAGTGCATATTTATGTTACTTATTTAATTAACAGAAAGTTTATATAAATAAAAATAAATTATGTAAAATAAATGAAATGTTAAATAAGAAATATTTTTTTATTAGTGGTAATAATATAATTCAACTTTCATTTTAAATTGATCATAGTTTAAAATTTTAAATGTGTTACTGAGTTTTAGAATGTAAGCAAATTTTAAATTTATGTTAGAATAAAACAACATTTATGTAATTGTATATATAAAATTTTAAAGAGGAAAAGTAAAATTGAAAGTGAAATATTAGTATAGAACATGATCAAAAAGAAAATGCTTTTAATCCAAATTTAAGTATTGAAAGATAATAATTAAAAAAATATATAATATGTTTTGAAAATCAATTAAAAAATAAATAAAATATCACAATATGAATAAAAAATTAACAAAAAAATTATAAATTTTTCGCGCGCAGCGCGTGTCAACTGCTAGTATGTAATATAATGCGGTTTGGTACAATTTTTCATACTAAATTATCCGCTTTTACATTCACAATACAAAAACCCAAAGATAAGGAAATAGATCAACTGTATCCCTTGTTGCTATGAATTTCCTCCAAGTGAAAAGGCTAGCCAATCAGTAGAAGAAAATACCATCTTTAACAAGATTGTATTGTCCAGCACCAATCATACACTTCTCTTTATAAAGTCTTTATTGTCCAGACAAGAGCTTCCACCTCTGCATATAAAGTTAGCTAGGGTTCGTTAGAGGTTTGCATTTCCTATGATTGGCGCCTCACCATTTGGTGATAAACAGAACCAACCGGTGCCTATCCATCCACAAAACATCTATATCCCAAAGTATTTGATTTTGAGTTTTATTTTCCTTGGACCCTTGAAAATTCATTTGTAACTTCTATTTGTGCTAATTGTCAAGCTTGCTCCTCATTTTTTCGCCAATCACAAAATTTTAAGTTGATTTTAAACCTTCCAAATGTACTACATTATCTATGGATACAAAGAGATATTAGCTCGAGGAAAAGTTCTCTAGAATAAATAATTCATATTCGTAAATAGTAAACTTGACGTGCTGGTGGACACTCGAAATCGCATGAATCAACAAAGTTTTTAACTTAAAGCAATAAATCCACTGCATATATAGTGCTGGTCTCATGAATTAAGCTGGAAACCAAAAATCATTCCATATTGAAATAGATTTATCTTTTAATAATATTTTATTTACGAGACATATATCTATCATTTATGCAGCATTTGAATAGCGAAAAATTTGTATCAAAATTTTATTTAACTGCTATTTCCGTATTAGCAGATCCAACTATATTATAATGGAACTATATGTACATATACATTAATAAATAAATAACATAGTGCAAAGAGTACGATGCATGCATGTATAAATCACAAATTCGCAACAAATATAAATAATGAAACATAAGAGTTTTGGAAAGAGTTAAATATCATCTTCTTGGCGTTGGAAGTGAACAAAGTTAGAGCGTATATGAGATGGGATTCGTGTGGGACGGTACTTGTTATCGAGCCACACAGCTGTCCCGTGCGCTTCCAGAATAAGCTGCTTAAAACCAAAAGATCTTGATTAGAACCATGCAAGTTAAAAAAAATAAAAAATATAAAGGCTTAATGAAAATAGCAAAAAAGATGACGGGATTCTTACGGAAAATGCCATTGCTATGCCAAATTTTATAAATATGTCATTTTTGCTACAATCTCATAGATTTTCCATTTTTAAAATTTTTAAAAAGTCTATATTTTGATCTTTTTTTGGCTAAAAATGTAATTTATAGTAAATACGTAACCCAAACATCATGTTTAATCATATTATTGATTTTTCTAACCTCAAAAATAGCAAATCTATAAGATTTTAGCAATTATGGTAAATCCACAAATGCCTTCACAAAAAAATTGGCAAATCAATAAGTGATTCAAAGTTCATTTTTTTTTTTTTTTGGGTCAACAATTGATTCAAAGATTAACCTCTTGATTTGGTAGTTTTAAGATGAACTGTTCAAAGTATATACGTGCCACAGATACTCCTGATATCCTAGTTTTCACCACAAATCTGCTACCACTCTGCACACACACACACACACACTCACACACAAGAAGTATATATAACATAACACTAATATTTGAAAATGTCAAAAAATATAAATATCTCTAGGAAAAGTACTCGTAAAGGTGCACGGAATTTTATTGTCAACTCAGAAATTGCCAAGGCTTCACCGGAACGTGATACTTCATCGCAGTTGATACCAACATTATCCATAAACTCGTGCCGACCTATGCAAGAAAACAAGTTTAACAAACCATAATATTTAGTAAGACTAAGATATAAGAAGCTGCATGCATTTTGTTATATTTTTAACTAACCGTGTTGGCAGTAGTTTGCATAAACAGCATTGTTCACAACACCGAACTGATCTAATTCGTAATCGCGAACTTTGAGTTCAGTCTCATGGAACCCGCTCATTCTGCCATATAGAAATTTAATTAGATTATGAATTAGAAACATTAGCTTAAAAAGGAATAAACTAGATCACTTAGTTCTAATGAATTGAGATAGAGAGACATATGTTTACCCTTTGTCTCCGTTTAGTTTGAGGATTGCGAAAGGCTTGAAGATCTTCGCGGTCCGGATAGGGAGGATCACCGGCCGCCTCGATGAACAGGGAAATATTACAGGCGTCGCTGGAGCTGCCGTACCGATATACATTGGCTTTATGGAGTAATGATGCCCAAATATAGTTGACAACTTTTGTACGTTTTGTGAAAGTTTGGTTTCAATCACCATATATATAGAGAAATAGAGATGGTTGCTGTTATATATGTGACGACAAAATTTACGAATAGATAGATGTACACATCCTATTCATTTTAATTCTTTTGAATTCAATCATTGAATACCGTACCTCTCCTAATTGTATCAATCTTCTGCCATGGTGCCATATGTGCCACATAAATTATAGAAAGAAAACGAAAAGAAGTTGTCTTATTTTAGGAATAAAATTCGAAAGACATTTTTTTTAGACGTTTAATATCTATACATTTTTTCGAAGTACTACATTTAAATATATATGTTACAAATCATTTTTTCTAAATGATTTGATGGATTCAAACCTACAATTTAACCGCAGTTAAATAGCGTTCCATCAACGACGTTAAATTTCAGAGAAAAATCCTAATTATATTTTTTTTTTAACATTTACTACTCAATCTTTTGCTCGGAAGAAATTTTCCTAAAATCCTATTAATAATGATGGTCTAAGCAATTAAAATAAAAACTTATATAGCTAATTTTTAAATTTTATATGAATATCACAACCAGAGTCCAAAATTAACTTTTTGTGTTTAAATTTGGACCCAATAAAAGAAAAGTTTTCTCCACCAAAAATTAAATGAAAAGTTTTAGTGGGCCGAAAAGAAAAAAATAATCTAATAAGGAGAAATTAACTTTCCCTATGGGCCTTGATATTGTTGGACCGAGGCTGCTTATTAGTGTAACACTCAAAATTAAAGGAGAAAGAGAAACTTTGAAACTGTCTAATTTTTGGGTAGCTCTGAACAATTCAACAATTGGTAGCAAATTCCCAAAACCTATAAATAGACTAAAGTGCAAAGAAAAATTTATATACAGGTACATTCAAGTTTATCGTTTTGGCAACTTGAATCTTCGTTATATGCGTTTTAAAGCTCCAACAATTTAGATATTGACTTTCTAAACAATTTGAGATTTTTGGGTGAACTTTCGAAACTATATGATTTGAAACTTTTTGCTAAATTATGATTGCAAATTTGGTGGTTTAGGCTGGTTGTGTTTCTCTATTGTTGGTGCTCTTACTATTGGTCGTATATACAAGAAAAACAGCGTTTCCCTACAACAAGAATCATAGAAAAATCATAGGAAACAGACATGAGGTAGCATGGTTTTGAATGCGATAAAATGGGTCAAAACTGACTATATAAAAATGTAATGCTCTATAAAAATGATATATGATATATCAACGTGATTTTTCATTTTTAGCTTCAGCTAGCAATCATTTATACATTAAAAAAAAAATATATGGCATAAATTCAAAAGGAAAGATATAGGCCATATGGTATTCAATAAAAATCTAGTTAATTTTCCATAGATTTGTGAGAAAATCATCTAATTTTGAATAAAATAAGGCCAAAAGATAATCTATTCAAAATCGGATGGAGTAGTATTTAATTATTTACCTTGAAAATTTTAATTCTAATTAATAATACATTAATAACTTACAAATTATCTTTTTAAAACAATTTTTGTTCTCTAGAAAGATCATCATTTAGGAACGGAGGGTATATGTAAGTTTATCTTTTTATGTTTGTATTGTGATTGTTGATAAAAGCTATAACATTTTTAATGCTACGATCTCATGTTTTATCTCTATTAACAATCTTAGTAAAATAACTAAAAGAATTAGTAAAACCATTAATATAGGCCAAACCTTATTAATTTTAATAACTAGCTTTCTAATGATTAAATGTCATAAAAATCCTTTTCAAAAAAACACCAAAGGTAATGTCTAAGGTTGAAATCTGGTTTAAACCCAAATATACCAGATTAAATCTAATTAAAACATGTATATAACATAAATTAAATTTGGTTTTTTTTTTTTTTTTTGAATAATCAAAGAGGTTCTGGGCCAAAGCCCATACATCCCCTCAGGCCCGAAACCAAAGCATGTTATATGGTTTCGTCCCAAATGCTATTCGAACCGGCGATCTCTAAGCTTCTGCCAGAGATCGTTCAAAGTTTCCTACCAGATATCAACCATTGTTTTACGAAAATTTACTATCAAAGAAAAGTTTTACAATTTTCTTATGGAATTGTGATGTGAGAAAATCATATGAAATTTTCCTACAAAATTCTACTAATTTTGGAATGGTAGGAAAATTCGCAGAATATTGATAGAAATTCCAGAGGAAAAGATGTTAAAAGAATTTTATAGAAAAACTCTTTTCATTTTCTTACGAAAAATGTGTTGTACTAATCTATGGAAAAAATGGACATAGGAATTTTTCCTACCAATGTTTGACGAAACATATGTTGTAAAGACATGCCAAGAAAATGCATAAAGATTTTTCTTACCATTTTATTACAAAATAGTAAAGAAAATACATATGAATTTGTCTACCACTTTATTCTATATGTGACCAACCACTTGAGAAATTAGGTACGCTAGTGGGTAACTAAATGGTAGACAAGTTGGTAGTAACCGAGAAAAGTTTCGTAGGAAATGGCCAAATGGGTAGGAAAATGCAAAAAAAAGTTTCCTATATCATGAGTATATATGTGAGAACTATGAACAATTCATGTATGATTCCAATACACCTAGCTACTCACTGAACGATCTAATAAGGTTTCAGAAGCAGCCACACAATATGCCAACCCAACACAATCGTAGTAGAAGTGAGTCTTTAGAATCTAATTCATTGCAACCTGAGAGCGAGAAATCGGTTGTTCCTATTCGCAGTGAGTTGTTGGATCTCCCAAGCCGAAAACACATACCTACGCTAAGTCCAAAACAAGAAGGAAAACACATTTGGTAAACTCTAAACTATTTTTTACTTTGTTAAGATTTTGTGTGACTTACAAATTATATTCACTTTGTTCAGGTTTAGACATGACACAACAGGTAAGATTACAAAGCAGATTTTGAAGATGCTTAAATCTGATCTCCCAAAACCATATCCAACATATCGTTCTCTCCCACAAGAAATCAAGAACAGATGGTTCCGAGCTTTTGCAGTAAAATATATCTTTATTTTGTATATATTATAAGTAATTTTTCTTTGCAATCGTGTTTCTAATTACATATACTTTCATTTACAGCAAGAGTTTAACTGGGACTCAAACATAACAGAATATGTCCGAACAAATTATGCCAAGCAAGCAGACTTGTCCTTTAGATCAAACTTACGTGAGTGGAAGAAGCTATGGAAGCACAGAGGTCCGGAAAACTTGCCGGAATGGATGAAGGCGAAAAAATCTCTGTTTGATGGTTACATAAAAATGTGGACTGATGAAAAAGCAGTCAAGACAGCAGCCAAAAACTCTAAGAATCGGTCAAGTGATCGGGGTGGTTTAGGCATCGCTATACACAACAACGGTGCAAAAACATATGAACGACGTTGGGATGAAATGGTAAGTAATAATATACGATATATTGAAATTTCTCTGAATTTGCATTGCTTGTCATTTCTATGAAAAGATGTTGACGATTTACTTGATGCATCCACGGTTTTAGTTTTCATAGTCAAATGATTTGTAATACTATGAATCAGTTTAAGTTTCGCAATATAGTTTACCAAGGCTACTGATTTTTTTCTCTTAAAAAGCTACTAAGTTTTCAGACTAATGTCTCCTTACAAGGCTACTGATTTCTAAAAAGGCTACTAAATTTTCTTTCTTGGTTTTGTTTGACATGGTTTAATATTTGCTTATTTGGATTTGTTTGATTTCTCTAGTTTCTATATTCTGGTTTTATTTGACATGGTTTTATGCTTTACATTTTAAAAGTTCACTTCATTGGTTGGTTTTGGTTGACTAGTACTTCTGGTTTTGTTTGACATTGATATTAGACAACTGAACTCGGGAAGGAGCCTAATATGATTTACTTCATGGAAGAAACTCACTTAAACAAGAAGACGCGCATAATTACCGACATGAAGACAAAAAAGATTCTTGAGATAGCTAAGAGTAAGTTGGAGCTCACAAATTCTCATTGCCAAACTGAAGGAGATAACTCTACTCAGCCAAAAGCTGCCACACAAGAGGATATCAATTCTATCATGCTTGAAGTAAGATAATTTTAGTTTCATGTTTCTAATGGTTTATACTTTGCTTATACCATCTTCACCCAAAACTGATGCTTTCATTTTAATTTCTTATTTACAGGTTGTTCCGAAGGTTAAAGGAGGCCGCTATGGGTTTGGTAAATTTTTGAATGAAGAATGCTCGTCTTCGACTTCAACTCCACGCCATATTCCTGACTTACGAGAAGAGATTCAAATATTGAAGAAACATGAACTAGAAAAGAATGCTCAAATCAAATACCTTATGGAATGCAACAAGCTCCTCTTCGAGCAGTTTCCTCAACTTCGACCACCTGAACACCCGTCGACGCCAAGCATAGATGAAGACGAGATGCAAGCATAGATCGAATTAATTGGAATTTTGAGTCTCATTTTACCTCGCTTATAACAGTTTTAAAATATGGATTGGAAAATGTTTATATTGATTTTAACAATGTTTCCATGTGAATTTGGAACGATATTTCACGTTTTTCATCATTTGGAATTTATTTTTGAAAATATTAAAATTTATTGTAACATATGTAAATATTTTGCTACCAAAACTAAAGTCGTAGGAAATTGGTTAGAGATTTTAAGTTGGAAAATGGTTGGTAATTTGGTAGGAAACTAGTAAGATTTGTTTCGTAGGAATACCAAATGAAAATTTTGGTAGGAGAATAGTAAGAAGAAATTTGCTAATAATATTTTAGTGGGAGATAGATCAAAACTCAAAACTACTATTTCCCTTTCCTACGAAATGACTTACAAAATTTTGCAATAAGAAAATTCTACAAGATATTTGCTTCGACACAAGATTGTAGAAAAAACAGTGAGAAAGCTTTATTTCCTACGATATTCCTATGCTATTGCTTTCGGCCTTAGAAAATGACTTTTTCTATATATATAATACATATCCTTATATTGCGATAACTAAAATTTCTTGTTAATATCTCGATATAGACTTTACTTTGTACTTTAAATATAGCATATCCATAAATTTATAAATTTTGGCTTTCAAATTTAAAATACAGCGAATGCAACATCTACGAAAAAAAAAAAAAGAAAAAAAAATCTACGTTGCATGGCCAGTGACGGATCTAGCAAAAACTTTTGATTGGGCGCAAAACAAAAACAAATTGTTGCTTTTGGTAGGACTTGAATCCTTAATGTGGGAGAGTAGGTCTTACATTAAAACTAGATGGCAAAAACAACACTATTGTGACAATACTTAGAAGTACGTTAGAATACAAACCATATAATTTATTTATAAATTTAAAGTTATTTTCTAAAGACTTTTCTCATTTAATTCTACAAAAGACAAACATAGACATGTAACAGTTTTGAGTGTGATTCACTGATTTGAAACAAAAAATCTTAAAAGACTTCAACCACCAATATTTAAGGTTGAAAAGGAAGGATGACAAGAATCTTTAATGATATTTCAAGATAATCGTATAAGGCCGTTGAGTCAACAATGGTCCGAGGAGGCCACGGGAATGAGAAGGTATAACACAGCTTTCACAGTTTGATACTTTCTTTCTTTTCTTTGGTAATATAGACATTATTCAAGCGAAAAACATCCTCCAACATTTTCGAACTATATACACATATAATATCAGAAATTCTATCGGTAAAGAAAATACATAGTTTGCCAATCCATTTATTGACGAGTAGTTTTTTTTGATACACAAACATATTAGAAAAGCTTACGTATAACTATCAGAACAGCTGACGGAAAACTATAAGAAACCCTGACTACTTAATGGTAGGATTTAATGAGTGTATCTTAGGATTAATTTAGTAATTAATATTAAAAGTGTAGAGTTTAAGATATGTATTTTTGTTTTTTGTTTTTAGGTAGGATTATTGGTAGGTTCTTAAGTTTGGTATCTTAGAAAAAAATATTAATTAAAATTTTTTTTTAACAATTTTAATTATTAAACACTTAATAATTATTGCAAAATAAAAATTTATAAACATATATAAATTACAATTTATTGCATAAATAACATAAAACACAATTAATTTAAACGTGATTTATTTCAACACCCACTTAGAAACTGCCACGTCACAGCCTCTTAAACCTTCTTCTGTATCTTATATAAGATACGGTATCTTATATTTTAATTAACATTTTGATTTAATTTAAATGTCTAATTTACCTAAGATATGCTTAAGATGCTAGCATTGATGATGCTCTTAGTCTTTTCAAATAAACCCATGACATAAACACATCAGAAAAGACGGATAACTATCATTTTGTTTCATATTTCTATCTTCCTCACGAGAGAATAAGTGATGTTTTACCATTTGTTTTGGAAAAAGAATTGTTAGCTGGAATACGAGAATGCATGGTTACACATGCCATGTATGATATTGCATCTTCTACTACATGAAATATATGTATTAAATCATTAAATGTATCAACTATTCAGCTACATGAAATATATGTATTAAATCATCAAATGTATCAACTATACAACGTCATGTGCTCAGCACATAGACATACAATTTGGTACACCGGTCGATTGAATCTAGTGAAGACTGGTGTTGACCAACTTTGACCAAAAAAATATTTCTAACTTTTTCATATTTTTATTTATACTATTTAAAATTAATATAATAACTTTTTATACTGAATAGTTTATGGTTTTATATAATTTAAAACTATCATATATTCAATAATTAGATATTTTGTATATATTTATAATGTATTGATCATTCTTATAATTAGTTAATTTTCTTTTTTAAAGCTAAACTAAAAGTTATTCAATATCTAGATATTTTGTATATATTTTTAATGTATTGATCATTCTTATAATAATTAGTTAATTTTTCTTTTTAATACTACAATAAAATATTAATTAATACTATCAAACTCAACGACTGTCATTAGAAATTTGATATTATTAATAACTTTGTTTTACTATAAATGATGTTATATCAGTACAAAAAATTAATTCATTTTCGTCATTTAACCTACCACTTATTAGTACAATTTAGACTATGAATTCTAAAATACTGTTAATCAAGTAATTTTTCAAGCTTTCTTACGCATTAAATTAAAACGTCTGTTATTAGTTGGATAAGTTGGAAGAATACAATTTTTTTCATATATATACGGTGACTGAATCTAATTTTCACATACCGAACAAATAAGTTGTCCAACTACTTTTGAGAATTTGATCATCTTCACTCGAAGTAGTACAATGCTTCAAACGACTTGCATCGTGGCTATGCCTATGCCTGTGGCATTTCCCTGTTTTCGGAGTCGACCACATGTCCTGCCTCTTCGGACCGCAAGGACCTTTAAACCACTCGCATGTCTCAAACTAAAAGAAAGCAAACGGTAAATAAAGATCTCTCAAACTTCATTTCATAAGAAATCTAATGTTTATTTTTCTAATAACCATGCCTAGCTAGACTAAGTATCAAGATTTGTAGATATATAGTCTATAACATTGTTCAAGATCTTTAATGGAAATTTCCATATGGCAGAGTGTTCAAGCTCCATGAGATTGAACTTAAAGTTCGCGATTATGAATTAGATCAATTCGGTGTTGTGAACAATGCTGTTTATGCAAACTACTGCCAACACGGTTAGTTTATTATCGATGAAAATACTTAAGCTATATCTCCCATCCTTACCAAAAACTTTGTTTTTCTACTAAGGTCAACACGAGTATATGGAGAGTATCAGTATCAATTGCGATGAAGTATCCCGTTCTGGTGAAGCCTTGGCAATCTCTGAGTTGACAATAAAGTTTATTGCACCTTTACGTGTAATTTTGAACTTTTCCTATAATGTTTTGTCACATTTTAGTATATCTTGTATATTTAGTTTACTCCTTTTTGAACAGAGTGGATGCAAATTCGTGGTGAAATCGAGGATAACGGATGTATCCATTGCGCGCATTTACTTCGAACAGTTCATCTTTAAACTTCCAAATAAAGAGGTTACTTTGGTGCATGCTCTCATCAAGCCTTTGTGTTTGTTTTTTACTTGTGTTCTGATTTGGATTCATTTTTGTGTATAAATATCATTAACGAAGCAGCCTATATTGGAGGCAAAAGGAATGGCTGTGTGGCTTGACAACAAGTACCGTCCCGTTCGTATCCCATCTCACATACGCTCATATTTTGGTCACTGACAACACCAAAACGTTGTTGATTGATCGTGCATTACAGGGCACGACTTAATATTTGTTATAGTGCTTTGGCATGGTCTCGATTTGATAAAGGAAAATCTAGATATATGTCAATATATCCTTCGATTTCAACGCAAATCACATAAATCACATATATCTATATATATAAAATTATATTTTCTCTCTTCTCCTTCCGCCGCGTCAGCGCCACATCATTATTATTTATTACTAAACACAAAAGAACATGGGTTTGAGGCCAGGTTACACAACAATCAAAATATTAAACTTAAAAGAACATGAGTTTGAGCCTTTGAGGTCTAACGTTTACACAACAATCAAACCGGTTAAAGAATATCAGAAAAACGTTGTACACACGAGTTTAGAACTGGATGATTAAACGGAACAGAGAATACATCTACTAGAACCGTCGTTTACAAGAGCGACACATTTGCAATAACGACACTGATTTCAAAACCATTGGCCAGAATAAACGGATTCGAGCATAGGAAGAAACCAAAAACAAGCCAGATTCTAGAATGTCTCTCACATAATATATCAAACCCAGACACCGGAAATTTTATCTCTTTAATTCCATACTTACGACAAAGAGAGAATACCGCATAAGTTTTCCCTTGACCTCTAATGAATACCAAATAATAAGAAATATTTCAAATACAAAACTAATTTAAAATTAAAAAATAAATTTTTTTATAAAAACAAAAGAAGGCTGTCTTCACTGCTCTCGTATATTTACAAATTATTTATGTAAGTTATATCAATAATATTTATAAATTTGTTTCATCAATAATATTTATAAATTTTTACATATCTTTGTAAATTATTTATATATGTTATATCAGTTGTAATTAAATAATATTTGTATTTCCCCATTTCAAGATGATGCATGACAAATTTGCATAATAACGGGTCTCAAGATATGGTTACACAAACACAAGCTCTCACGTTAAGATAGCTTTTAAAATCAAAGGCAGAATGATCTCAAGGTACGTACATTAAAATGCTGTTTGTTTCAAAAAATTTATATTGTGTTACGCTCTCTGAAAAATGGGGATAGTATTGGTGAATCTATAATGTGTACTGCAGAAACAATGTTGAAGGACTTTGTAGCAACAATGCACAAAATAAAACATCCATAAATTCTATTGCTGCACAAAACTTCCTATGTTGTCATAACATAAATGGGTTGCATCACAACAAAACAGATTTATCTCAGACATAAGGTTCTTTTAACAAACAGACATAAGGTTCTTTTAACAAACACAAAAGACACTCAATGTGAAGACACTCAATGTATCAATAATTTCACACAAGTCAGGGAATATATTGCTCACACAATATTGTGAACACCAAAGAACATCATAAAAAGTAAGCACACACAATTATACGATCTTCCAATATCACATAGTTACTTACAATGCTTCACTTAAATTAAAGCACACAAAACATTGTAACAGTCATACGGCATGTAAGTGAATGGTTTTCTAAAACTTGAATGTCACAAATAACAGAAAATAAATGCAGTCTTTGTACAGTAAAACCTCTATAAATTAATACTCGATAAATTAATAATATCTATAAATTAATAAATTTTTCCGGTCTTAACTTGGGACCAGTGTAATTTTATACATATTTCGATAAAATAATAAGATATTAATTTTTTTGAAAATTCTTTGTAAATATATGGTCCCAACAATATTATAAATTAATAATTAGGTAAAATTTTCAAAATATATGTCTGTATAGACACATTAGTTTTTGTTAGAGTTTATTTCTAATATTTTACTATATCAAAAATTGTTCGCATTCTCTTTCAAGACATAATAATTATTATTTTCTTTGTAATTGATTATATAAAATACTAATTATCATGATTAAATCTTATTTTTAAATATTTTCTGAAAAAACTTTCCACATTAGGAAAATCTCTCTATAAATTAATAATTATTAATTTATCGATAAATTAAAATCTCTATAAATTAATATATTTCTATGGTCCCAACATTATTAATTTATAGAGGTTTTATCTGTATAAAGAAATCATAATACACTCACCAACTCAATCTTCCATGAAACCTTGACAAACAAAACTATGGATATAGCAAGATAAAAAAAAAAAAGCGTTAAACTTATAAGACTTCGCAGAAGAGTCCATCAGAGGAACAACAACATTTAAGATTTTATCCAACTCTAGCTAAATCCCAAAACAAGGTCATAACATAACCAGAATATCAACAAGGAATGATAAAAGTATAAAGTAAAATAAACATTGATAATTTCAGACGATACAAGATTAACAATAATACGAGAACTCATGTGTTATTCAGCTTCAACTGCAAGAAGTGGTCGATTAAACACCAATCATAAGAAACAATGTAGCAAGGAAAGTATAATATAAGTAGTATATTCAAGCTGAAAATATCGAGAACCATGACTTAGAATAACTTCAAACTGAACCATTTGATTTAGATTAGAACTTACTATTTATCAAGTGATTTACTATTTTTTCCCAGATTCTATAGTAACAACCTATATGTATATTCCCAGATTCCCAGCCACCTTCATTTAGTATCTTTCATATAAAAGAAAAGCAATGCTTGAGATTTGGATCATATCATTCAATCTCTGCATATTTTCCTTACACTACCCTTGCCCACGCCACCAAATAAATACATCATCCCCGACCCAATTGATACGTCTACAACAATGGAATATCAGGTCCTACCTTCTTGACGACCCCCAGATCTTCACTTGCAATCTGAACATTAACATAGGAAACGAAAGCTTAGGTCAATACAGATGAAATGCAAGTTTTCAGAGTCTTTTGGCTATGTACAGCACTGTTATCTTGATTTGTGATAAGATCTTGCCTTGGCTTTAGAAAAATCTAAGAACTCAACCTCAAAATGAAGCTCATCATCTTTTGGAAAAATTTCCTGGAGCTGAGACTGGACAATCCTTCTCTACATAATGCATTTCAGGTTTCTTCTTGAACTGAAACAAACAAAAAAAGAAGTATAAAACTTCTTCAGCCGTGAAGAATTGAGAAGTAATCTAAAATAGCTAAGAAGGGTTCTGGCGCATCAACTCACTGAAATTCAGGTGACTCAACTAAATAAACTAAACCAAACTAAACAGCCTAATCTTTGAACACACAAAAACGTTATTTTTGAGTTTACCATAGCAATTTCAAGAGCAAATGGTCAGCACCTACATAGATCACACAAAAAAAAGATCATCAAGAGCACATGGTCAGCACGAGGTCCTTTGCATTCAAAACAAGTTTAGAATTTTGGTAAAAAATCTAAAATGGATGGAATTGAGTTGACAAAGACTTGCTTAGGTCCATTGTACAATACGTCAGAGATGAGATTTCTGATAACGTCAGAGATGAGATCTCGTCTACGAGTCTGAACACACGCTCCGTTGGTGGACTACGGTGCTCCGTTGGATGAAAAGTGGCGGGATCGTAATCTGTTGGGAGCTTTCTCTGATCGAATTCTTCTTCTTCTTCATCTTCAATCTTCGCCGCTTGGGCATAACTCCGGTAACCACCGATTCGAGAAAAAGTGATAATCTGGAGGAGGTTTGAGATAAATGATAATCAAAGCCACGAAATAGTTCCTCCATTTATTCTCTCCATCTAGGGTTCGTGAGGCAGAAAATAATCGATTTAGGGGGTTTTGTTTTCTTTTTCACAAAACACAAAAAAAATAAATCGTTTTGTTTACTTATTTTTTAACCTATCATGAAGTGCCACGTCGCCTAAGAATCAGAGTCCAAAAACATCTTCAACAACAACCAGATGGATCTTCTAAAAACACTGTTTTCTTTTTTTCTGGCTTTTAATAATAGCCTAAGGCCCCGTCGGTTATCACGTTAATGATGCCCTTAGAAACTCAAAGAATTTGCAAAACTGGGACTCTCTCTTTTTCAACTACTTCACAACAATTGCTTGAATTGGCATATGCATACTTGATGGATGATGGTGTACTCAAAGAAACCCCCCTTTTGCGCCATAAGGTTAAACTTCATCACCCATAAAACAGGCAACATATATTCATCTCTTGCTTATAAACTTACCAAAGCTATATATCGTAACTATGAAGTTACACTTCTCTTTCAATGGAGTTGCACATGGTCTCTTTGCCTTAATTTCAAGAACCAAAACTGCATAAAAGAGAGTACTTAGGAGACTAAGATATCCCTACTTTTTCAAAAAAAAATCTTTATATAAGATATTTTCTTTGAAAAAGTAGGGATATCTTAGCCTCCTAAGATACCTCTATCGAGGATGGTCTAAGGGCATCCTCAATAATAGCCTTTTAGAGTTAAGAGAGTACCTTATATAATGTATTCTCTTAAAGAAATCTTAGCCCTAAGAAACTATCATTGATGATGGTCTAAAGTTTCGTGATGAAACGGTCAATGTTTTGGACCTGGTGACCCGACACCGACCAACCAAGACAAATGTTCCATTCTAGACAATACACGCGTCGGTACACACTTCACTTTCCTAATCCCTTCATTAGCATCACCACCACTAATTGCGCTCGTAGTTTTGATTTTAGTCAATAATAACACGAATTCTAGTAACCATGATTTATTCAAGAATTCAATAATAAACATAACATAATCCCAATAATAATAACATGATAATAAACGTCATATAAACTAGAAACAAATCAGAAATCGAATCCTTAAATCTCTAAACACGCTATAAAAATCACATTACTAATTAAATGATAAACCAAAATAGGACAAACAATGAAATAGGACAAACAATGAAACCAAAAATAATGTTGTAATGAATCTACACCAACAAAGCAGCGATCACGGCGACTCCGGCGAAAGTTCCGATAACGGAGACTCTACTCACTGAACCAGCGTTTGGAGAGCCAGTAGAAGGAGACTGAACAGGTCCAGCTTCACCAGATGGAGCATTCATGGCCGGAGCTCCGGCAGGAGAAGTAGGCGTCGGAGGAGCTGCCGGAGAAGTGGAGGTAGCCGGAGACTCACTCGGCGGCTGAGTAACCGGAGGAGCGGTGGTAGGAGCTGAGGAAGGAGGGTTGGTTGAGGATGAAGGTGAAGGTGTTGGTGCGGCGGTTCTTGGAGATTCAGACGGTGGAGGAGTTGCCGGGAGAGGAGACATGGTTGGAGATGGTCCCGGAGCTTGAGCAACGACGGAGGAAGCCACAAGAGCGAGGAAGAGGAGAACGACGACGGATTTAGAAGCCATTGTGACGTTACGTTGAGAATACGAATAGATTATGGTATAAGGTAAAGAGAGATAAGTGTGTTTATATAGTAAAGAGTTAGGTATTAAACTAAGTTTCTTGGAAACTACAAAGTTCAACGTATACTTTTTGAAAATAATAAGTCCCACATATAACTATCATTTTGGAAATAAACCAAACAAATATGACTTTTAAATAATTAATATTTTATCTCATGAATCTTTTGATCATGTGCATGATACATTTATTTGACAATGTATTGTGATTTTGTTTGTCTATATATAATTTTTGACCCGAATTCTAGTCAATAAAACTCAAATCCGAATCAAAACCTCTAAAATCGATTTGGGGAAATTTCGATTCTAAGAACACTTATAAATTCTAAGACCTCTAAAACCTCTAAATTCTAAGAAGACAAACGTCGTCATAATTTTTATTTTAAGATTCGCAGAAATTTCTAAGAACACAAAATCAACTTATTTTGGTTAATTAGGTAAAATTATGTAGTTTTGGTGGAATTGGGAAGAAAGCAAATTTATTCATGTGGAATTGGGTAGAGGGTGAAAGTAGAGGTGAATCCTAGTTGAAACCATATACTATAGGAGGCAGATATAGGTAGCCCTTGTTTTTCCTCTTTTTGGACTATGAAAATCAATAAAGAGTTAATCTTATTTCCGTAAATTGATTAGAACTAAGTAGTAACGTTTGCAGCTTTTCTAATTAGTAACGTTTGAAACCGCAATTTATAACTTTTACAACTCCAGCCACTACAATTTATTTAATTTAGCCTGTTCTATAAACTTTTTATAGTAAAAGTAGAGATAAAATCTGCCCGTCGAATAGATTAAACGAATTAATAGCGTTTAAAACTATCATTTTTCGTTTTTGTAAATTCCCGCAACAATAACCGTATTCATTATATTTAAACCAATCAGGAAAATTACATAAGGTTTATGAAAAAAAAAAACTCGAGATAAAATCTGAGCCGTCGGATGGATTTAGTGAGTCTTGGTCGTCCCCAAGAATAACCAAACGGGTTGTTATTGAATAAAGAGAGTGGGCGACGTTTAGTAAGACTTTTTTATTTACTTTTCCTTAACAAAACACAAACTCTATGTAAGTCTTCTCTTCGATAAAGATTATATGAGATCATAAAGAGATTAATGCTTTCGAGGTTAATAAAAAGTTTATTGTTATGGACCAAAACTCAACTTAACACTAATTATGATTATATCACGTGGCCATTTTGTCCATTTCTTTCCTTTTCAATTTGTTATTTTATTTTGTCTATCATATTAGAGTGGTACGAAACGTTTTTGGATGTTATCAAGAACTGTCTCAAAATATACAAAAATTCTCATATCTTTAAATTTCTTGTAGAGTGCTTGAAAAGTTCAAACCCAAGAAAGCAACTTTTAGATGGGAAGAGGGAAATTAGTAACAATAATGCTAAAAAAGTCTAGCTACACAAAAATACTACGTTTTAACGTATTATTAAGAAGATGCCTAACAAAAAAAGAAAACCAGAAAAATGTATTACAAAGAAGACTTTTAGCTACACAAAAGACGAAACTAAAGTATTAATTTGGGTTTTTTTTTTTTAGCTATCATGTTTTAGATTTTAGTTGCACTTGATGTAAAAACGTTATATTTTCTTGAATATAATTTAATATTATTATTTTTTTCTAAAGAAAAAATATTTGGCAAACCGACCCAAAAAGCAATCTGAAAAGTCAACAAGAAACTTCAAAATTCTTAAAAAAGAAAACAAAACCTTTTTTTCTTGGAAACATGTCAAATGATATATTGGTAGAAAAAAGTCATTAAATACGTATGATTAGAGAGGTAATAATATCGAAGTGTTTGTGTGTATATGCTCGATTAGAATAGTCAAACGTAGCTGTGTTTTTAATAATTATGTGGCTTTGGCACTAGAGGAAGTTGATTAGTGACAAACGATTTAGAATAAATGATTTAGAGATTATGGTTACGTTGCTTCTCTCAGTTAGGTCGAAATCCAAAGAAAGACGGTAAAGGATATTTTTGGTTGGATGGGCCATTTTTTTCAACTAGTGAAGTGCATAAAAATAGAGGTTAACTAATATGTTCTTGTTTCAAATTATATATACTCTAAAATCTCTTGTTCTTCTTTTCTTCTAGTGACTTTTTGATAACTCTATATTTTTACACTTTTAAGCATATGTTCTGAGCATAATTTGCATGTCTAGAGCCCTATTTCTTAGGAGTTTTAGCCTATTTCCATTATATTTCACATTTAGGATTGTTAGCATAGGCAAATTGCATATCATCTGCATTTTAGAGTAAAAACAGGCACATCTGGACACTTCAGAACACGGATCCGATCGGGTGTACTGAGTCCGACAAAGGTGAGCACGATCATGCACCCATACTTAAAGGAGGAATCTGGACTCGGACGAGCCGAGAAAGGACTTGAGCGAGTCCAACATGAACTCGACCGAGCTCTTCTCAAACCGACTTTGTAATTTGTCTTTTTCTGTTTTAAGGCTTCATGTCTTTAGTATAAATAGACCCCTTCGGTTATTAAGCCAAAAATTGAGTTTCATTAAGGTTTTACTCTGTAGCCACCAAATATTTCCAGAAACTTGTAATCTTAATATCTTTTGATCTATTGAATTTTTAAGGTTGCTTCTTTATATTATTTTGCTCCTTAGATCATTATCTATCTGGTTATGCAAGATTCAAAGATTTTTGGGCTTATGTTCTTCATGATGAACTCCAGATTTGAGTAGTTTTCTGGGTTTAGAGGATGGGTTAGGTGATGAGGAATCTTAGTTTCTAGGGATGCTTAAGTATATATTTAGGTAAATACCTTCTGAATTAGGAGATTTAATTGCTAATCTTAGCATTAACCATGTGGGATTAGATCTTAGACATTCTAACACTCAAAAAGTGTTCAAATGGAATGTCTGATCAACTAATGCCAGAGATCTATTTACTTACCCAAGAGATTGGCTGTTAAGGAGTAGATTGACATTAATGAACTTTTTCTTTATGCATATCTATAGTATGTTTCATCAATGAAAGTTGAGATTAGGAAGTGATATAGATCTGATAATCTTTGCCAAGAGATTGGACTGATTAGGTTAAGTGGTTCATTGTCTAGGATTAGATCTATCTGAGCATGTTAAGCATCCCAAAGAGATTAAGAGGATTCATCACCCCATTAGCCCATCCTTAAGACCCTTGTTTATCTGATTGTTTACCTGCTTTCATTTCTGTTTCATTTCAGTAGTTCTCTTAGATCCTTTAGTTTATCTTCAGTACTGTTCTTAGATCTTTTAGTTTATCATTCTGTAGTTTACTTTTATGCATTAGAGTTCTTTAAACCAAACTTTCAACTGCTTGGCTTGACTTGATTAGTTCTGCTATATCTTGATTGTTTACAATACATCCATTTGGATCGATAACCTCTTATGCTACATCGCATTGGGGAATTGAACTCCAATAGCACACAAAACGCTTGTTTCACTTTTTGATAAAAAATTTATAATATCACATTACTTTATTTTTAGGTCTTAAGAAAATCAATAGTTGCCAAAAAAAAAAAATTATCTCCCACGGATATTTTATTTTAAGCCAAATGTTTTAGCTATTTTTTCTCCAAAGGGAAAACGACTAATTATTCCACAAACTTAGTTGCTTTATTGTATGTATTACACACACAGAACTTTGAGTTGCTTTTATAAAAACACGAACTCAACTAAAATTTGAATTTTCTACATACACAATGCAAATTCGGTCAAAACCATCGAATCGATAGATGATGTTACTGTTCTGTTAACAAATTGAGTTTTGTTATGTCAGTAGTTGCTTTGATGGCGTTTTATGTTCCTTTGTGGTAGTTAGGACAGATAACTCATTCTATTAGCATCTTTCAGAGAATCTGGTTATCTTGGGCTTTTATGGTCCTAATTTATCCTTTATGGAGCTTTTTATGCTCTCAAATTTTCACTTTCGTTTAGTAGTATTGCTATAGAGAGTTTTGTATTAAAGGTTATTCTGCTTAGAGCAGTAACAAGGATATCAATCATCTCTCTTATGACATTTGTTGTTGTTGATTGTTTGACCCTGAAGACCTTGGAGGATTTTTTTCCTCCTTTATGCGGATTCCATCATAACCACCATGCTAAAGAATTTTTCTTTACAAGTTGTTGTTGTCTAGACACCGCTCTGGTTTTAGAAGCATTCTTAGATGATGTTACTGATTATTTGAAGCAATTTTCCTTCCCAAAATCTCATCTTGTTTGGAGGGGTTTAGATGATCGAGACTTGTCTGTATTGCAAGGTTCCTCCTCCTAGCTTATGGTCCCCTCCACCTATGTTGCTCTAACGTCCGTGTCCCAAATTTTGATGAGTGTCAATCGACACCAAGGGAGGGTGTCGGTCGACACCACTAATTTTTGATGGTTAACCGGTTTAATTTTTAAGTCGTCCGATTAAGTGGTGGATTGATTTCAAAAACCCTAAGCTGGAATTTTAAACTCCACGGTAGCCACTTTCTTCTCACTTGGGGCTTTTGTCGTTTCTTGAGAGCAAAAGAGCAGAGAGTGGAGAGTTGATCCTAAGGGGCTAAGGGGAGGCTTGTGAGGAGTTTTTAGAGGTTTTTGGAAGCTGTTCTTGGGTGTTTTAGCAAGGGATCAATGAGATTCCTGGCTATGGGTGTGAAGAGAGGTTGCTGGAGTGTTCTTCTTCTCTGTTTCGTCCATCCTTTCAATCCATATTAAAGGTGAGTGCGTGACCATGGTTGATCTGAGCATGTTAAACCCTTTTGATGTGTATTTGATTGATCTGGATGGCTAGAAATTGTTGTGTATGGCTTATTTGTGTGTGTTTTGGTTGCTGTATTTGCATGATTGAGTGTTTAGGTTCATGGCTGGAGGGATGGAGGTGGTGAATTTGCTCTTTGGCGAGTTGTAAGGACTTCTGCGGAGGTAGTGTCTAGCGACACCAGTTCGGGTATCGGTCAACACCAACCTGGTG